TGCAAAACTTGCACAACTTGTATTTGATAAGAAGCCACCTAAGACAATAAATCTTTTTTCTCATGCTAATAATATTTTGATCATATGATTGTCATATTTTTCACTTAGATACGACTTTATTATACATATAGAATCTGCATGTATATATTGAATTATAGAAATAAACATTTTGATATCAAATTCAATGTCACCTTAATATTATACTCCGTGTTCCTTTAACTCAGAAAATTGAAGTGAAATCAATACTGCCAATTGCGAATTAAAAACATTTGTTTTGTAACCATCAACTGATCATTTGCTGCATAGTTTCAGCAAAACTGATCTATTTTATTTCGATTTAAAAAAGAAAAGCTTTAAAGATGTAACTATTTTGGCTATTTTGGTTTTGAAATCGCTCACAAAATAACAAGAATTGGTTAGGATGATAGCCAATATCACACACACTAATCATTTCAATTTATTTTCAGCAAAACAATTTGGTAGGTTCGTTAAATTTTATATGGTTTTACGACCTATTAACAGCTAAGGTAATTTAAGTACATCAATTTGGTAGAATTTCAGGATAAAAAGGTAAAAAGGCGGTCAAATTGGATTTAAAATCGGCACCGAAATGACAAGAAATGGCCTGGACCATACACTGCTAGTTACAATTACGTTTCAGCATATCGGTTCAGGAGAATTTAAAGTCATATTGGATTTAAGATAGTCTACTAAATAGCAATATTAGTTTGAACCATGAACATGTCATTTCCGTTAAATTTCAGCAATGGAATTAAACCTGATTAAATTCAGCTGTGAGCTGTTAACTGCAGATGTGCAGATGTGAGCTGTTAATTGCACTGTCGCAGATTTCGTTGTAAGAACTCGAACGTGGAATTTGCTTTATTTGTGATGGTGCGAATGTGAGCGTCCCATTTCATGGTGTTTTGAATAACAACCCCTACATGTAAGTATGGGTTCTCTTCTACTTCCCCGAGAATGTGGCCGTCAAGTTTGTATCTGAAGGTGCTAGTTGACCTGGATCATGACGTTCGGAGGATGCAACATTTTGTCGCGGCGAGCGACATAATTCATTTAATAGCTCGTTCTTTTAAGGATGTAAGATACTTTTGAAAGTCTAGCTGGTTTCGAAGACATTTGATTGGGAGGTATAACTAACAATCTTCAGCAATAAGCTGTACGGTACATGTTACACAAGCAGGCAAATCATTGATATGACAGAGAAAAAAGTATTGGCCCGAGTACCGTCCCTTAAGGTTCCCTGGTCTCTGCTTTCACTGCTGTTAATTTGCTGCCTTCTACAAATACTCACTGTGTCCTGGTAGTCAAGAAGACTCTGATCCATCGTAGGATGTTAAGTTTCACACCGTAGTTCTCTAGTTTGTAGAGAAGTTTGGTATTAGAGACCTTATCAAAGGCTTTGCAGAAAGCTAGGATTGCTTGTCAACTTTTATTTTCTTGTCGTACATGCTGGTGATGTCATGTGTTGTAATCAACAATTGTGTTTCACATGAGTGCCATGCTGCAGTGGTGTAAGTATATTATGTTTCAAGAGATGGTTCCTGAAGTTTACAGCACACACATGTGACTGACACTGGCCTGTAATTACTCGGTAAGTGACAGTTACCTGGTTCCTGAGAGTTTACAACACACACATGTGACTGATACTGGCCTGTAATTACTCGGTAAGTGACGGTTACCTGGTTCCTGAGAGTTTACAGCACACACATGTGACTGACACTGGCCTGTAGTTACTCGGTATGTGACGGTTACCTGGTTCCTGAGAGTTTATAGTTAGTCGGTAGGTGACGGTTACCTGGTTCCTGAGAGTTTAAAGCACACACATGTGACTGACACTGGCCTGTTGTTACTCGGTATGTGACGCTTACCTGGTTCCTGAGAGTTTATAGTTAGTCGGGAGGGGACGGTTACCTGGTTCCTGAGAGTTTAAAGCACACACATGTGACTGACACTGGCCTGTTGTTACTCGGTATGTGACGGTTACCTGGTTCTTGAGAGCTTATAGTTAGTCGGTAGGTGACGGTTACCTGGTTCCTGAGAGTTTACAGCACACACATGTGACTGACACTGGCCTGTAGATACTCGGTAGGTGACGGTTACCTTTCTCAAATATTGGGGTTATGTTGGCACTTCTCCAATCTTTTGGAAGTTCACCATTAACAATTGATTGTCGGATGATGTGAGTAAGTTTTGGGGCTAGTTCTGAAAATTGTTGTAGCATTTGGTTCAGTATGCCATCTGGACCACTGGCTTTACTGGCACTAATATTACGAATGATCTTTTCCACTCCATATGCCTCCATAATGAGGTCCCTCTTAGTGGGGAACTTCGAGTTGGTGAGAGATGGCATATTGAGAAGGGGGCGGGGAGCTCCTTTGTGAAAACAGACTGAAATTGTTGAGTGCCTATGCCTTGTCTGGGCTGCCTATGCCTTGTCTGGGCTGCCTATGCCTTGTCTGGGCTGCCAATGAGTAGTTTGGTTTCCTGTTTGAGTGTCTGTAATATGATTCTATTATCACCTTTTTGGCACCTTTGAGTTGTAGGAGTCAGAATTAGGAAACTCTGTTACTGAGAAGCAGTTATTGATATAGATGAACACTCCTCCTCCTTGGCGGTTCCTGTCCTTCCTAAACAAAGTAAACCCATCTGGGAAGATCTTATTTTCCTTGATTGTACGGTTAGGTTTAATGTAATCACCACAGTTTTGAGCACTGCTGACTTGTTCTTAATAGATTGACATTTCACTACTAGAATTTTTCATGTACTAGTATTTGATTACCAATATATTCAGAATCACTTGCAATTGATGTTGTAGATGTTACACGTGCTGCAGATGTACTTAGCCTGTCTTTTGGGTTCGATGATGATGTTGAGTGTGTTGTGTGTTGACTGCTGTCACAACTGTACGAAGACAGATGACGTTTTACTCTGTGCTTCTGATGTCTTTGGCGGCTGTTAAAACCTTTTGGGAGAACTGAGAGTGTATGTATAGCACAGAGATGTCAGTATCTAATACTTTATAGATGTTTGATGTCTCTAGTTTAAAAGGTTTTAAATGTGTCTTTTAAATGTTTGGAAATATACCGATTAAAAGTAATCAAAATCTCTCGCTCGGACCTTTTGTAGACTTCGTGTCCTGATTATGTAACCTGTGATCTGATGAAGAGATTAAGACTGAAACTAGAAATGGCAAGAATATTAAAAAAATAACAAAAAACTTATCATACTAAATATTGCCATCTTCTGAAACTGAAATACGCACGTGCGTACAGGCGCATGCCTAGCTAGTCCCCGAGTCAGTGAAGCGAAAATAAAGCAATCCTTTTTCGATTAGTCCTTCTTGACGTAGAAGGTTTATGTACAACTCCAGGTCAACAACTATGGAAGGGTACTATACACTTGATATCTTCTGTTCAGATACACCTATGCTATGTAATTCACTTAAAATGCTTACATTGACCTGGATTAAAACAATACCTCTGTATATTTAAAGACTAAGGCATAAAGATGATTTCAGAAGATGGCAAGACTAAGTCTTTAAATGACAAAAACAGGAATTGAAAAGTTATTTTGCAAGCTTTCGAAAACGTCTGTTTCTATCTGTGTTTGTACGTTTTTGTTTCTTTGGGACATTAGCATTGCCTTTATTTTCTATTTGTTATTCTATTTCCTTATCGACTATTCGGGGTATCCACATGTTGTCAGGGCCTGTTTGATATCTCCATGTCTTCCTGTTCAGTTACGATGTTTATGCATCTGTCCAGGAGACTGCAAACTACCCCCAGCTTCTGATGCAATGTATGATGTGCATTAAAGTTGAGGTACTGGTCTGTGTGAGTATTTTTCTGTATACCAGCAATTTGATGGAACTGTCATCTCTTGTTACGATAAGGATATCAAGGAATGGATTTTTTCCGTTTGCCTGTTCTTCTCACCTTTCTTGACTACTTCCAAGTCATCATCAACATATCTTTTCCATAGTTAAGGACGACACTCCATCGGTGCAGTTGTGATGGCTTTCTGCTCCAGATGCTCCATAACTAAATTGGCAACAATAGGTGATACTGGGCTCCCCATTGCTGCCCCAATAGTTGCTGGTAAATTGTACCCCTGAAGGAGAAATAAGTGTTGTTGAGGATAAACCCCAACAACTCAATGATGTTGTCAACAGGAAGACTTGTTCTCTTCTTCAGGGTTCTACCCACCTTTAACCTGTCCCTTATGACCTTGCAACCTTGTACACTTGTGTATTGGTATGTACATTTATGTTTATATTTATTTAACGATTAAACTTTACAGTGAAATCACCTTCCCGATAACCAGATTAGTGTGGGATGAAGTTATTGGTAGTAATGATAAAGTAACGATGTTAGTAGGACGACGGGCTCGTGGCCGAAGGGTTGTTGGTTCGACTCACGGCACGGCACTGTGTTGTATCTTTGAGCAAGACACTTAACTCAGCTTGTTCCAGTCTATTCAGCGCTGTAAATGAGTACGTGGTTAGGCAGTGCTAAAATTGAAGAATGCTAGCTGTGAGCGCCGAAATGACAGCACCGGCTGTATGATCCCCAGGGAGTAGAGAGAAATATTGACTGTTTGCAAAGGCCCTATAATCATGGATAATAAATTGTGAACCGCTTTGAGACGACCTACGAACTAGGGTGTGATAAAGCGGTATACAAGAACCTCGAATTATTTTTATTATTATGTTAGGCGTTCGTTTAGTAAAAGTTAACAATATAAAGCTCATAATAGATAATCAAGTTCGTAGTTTTTTCATTTCCTAAAATTATTCACTCTTCTTAGCACAGATTTATTTGTAGTCATTCGTACATATATAACTATCTTCTATTAGTGTACTTTGAAAACGTTTAAATTTAACAAAAAATATACGTACAGTTTATACCTGATCCAAATCAGAACTGCGGCTGGTATACAAGTCAGGCATAACTAGCGATAAATATAGTCAGTTCGGCAAAGCTTCCGGTTTTACCCTATCGCGTAAACAGCCGCCATATCACTCTACGCTTATAATGGCCAAACCGAAAGTATTTTTCGACATTACAATTGGAGATGATAAGGTTGGACGAATTGTCATGGAGTTAAGACCAGACGTTGTTCCCATAACAAGTGAAAACTTCAGAGCACTTTGTACAGGTGAAAAGGGAACAGGAAAGAGTGGAAAGCCATTACATTTCAAAGGCTCATCATTTCACCGTGTCATCCCAGGGTTCATGTGCCAAGGAGGGGACTTTACCAGAGCAAATGGGACCGGAGGGGAAAGTATCTACGGAAAGGAGTTTGAAGACGAAAACTTCGAGCTGAAGCATACTGGACCGGGTATTTTGTCGATGGCAAATAGAGGCCCAAATACGAACGGCTCGCAATTTTTCCTGAGCACTGTGAAAAAAGAAGATCTGGATGAAAAGCATGTGGTATTCGGCAGTGTCGTAGATGGGCTAGAGGTTTTGACGGAAATAGAGAAAGTTGGCTCAGACATTGGAAAAACAAGTAAACCTGTTGTGATTTCTGACTGTGGGGTCATTTAAAGTCTGCAATGTAACATTCAGTATTGCTTTAGTGTCACCCTGAGAAACTGTGCTTATACAGGAAACATTGGATGAAAAGAAACACCTAGGACAGAAAGTTCTATCATAGTTATTCTCTTCGCTTTGTGCTTAAAGATATTGTATTTTCAATGTTGTGAGGAAAATAAAAGGAAATGGATCCGACACTGGGAAAACAAAAGAAGCGATTCAGATTGATAATTGTGGCCAGCTTTAAATACTAATGAATTAGGGCCAGATTTAACCCGAGAACTGACTTTAAAATCCGCAATGTATACAGTAAATAACACTATTTAATATTACTTATATGTATTTAGGAAGCATTGTGTGGCAGAGACTTTAATAAATTTTTTGATTAAATTACAACACGATTCCTCTAGTCTTTCGTCTGTTATTTATTTAGATCTGATGTAGAAGATAAAAAACTCGGTTTTACCACTTTTTCTATTAAACTTAGTTGTAACTGTAACAGACTTACAAATAAATGTTATGATACAAGATCTGACTCGATAGATATATAATTACACAATATTTCATATATTTCGGGTTATATTCCATAAATCCTCTTTTATAAATATTACTTAATAATATATTTATTAACGATATATAGCCATGGCCCTTATTCTTTAGCATGCCAATCATTTTTTGTATCATAACAGAAAATGTATCAATGCATTTACCATAATAAACATTGATAATCAAGCTCCATGATTATATGAAATTGTGCATTGGCCATGTATGGCATGCTAAAATAATGTAGATAATAAATATACGGCAAGTTTTATATAATATAGACTATCATTGTAACTCTATATTGGCAAGTTGACAAAATTGGATATATTTAAGTTTTGTGAAAAGTTTGCATGGTTTTCTAATTAAAAGTATATGTATATCAATTTGACATTATTATCAAAATAACAGTAATTGTATACATTGTACACTATCATAATTCATTTTCAAAATTATATTCACCTATGACATTTACGTATCTACATATGGCGAAACAATAAAAGAAATTCAAGTAGTGGCTGACCGTTGACCGAACCTTTCACATCAAGGTTTCCCGTGCTCCCTAGTTATAGCCTACATCTTCTATTTTGGGATTTGATTGGAAAACAAAGATGGCTACCTGTCACCAATCTTGAATTTTGAGAGTTAATGTTTGATAGCACTATCACTCAGAAAGTACTGGAGAGATCTTCTCAAATTTGATAGCTTGGTTCCCCTTATAATCTTGTTTCACATGTTTATTTTTGAAACTGATTGAAAAAACAAGTGGTCGAAGGTGGCCATCTTGGATTTTGGGATTCAAGCTTGTAAAAGCTATTTCTCAAAGTATTGGATGCTTCTTTTCTTAGGGTTTATGTCATTCAAGGACGTGCCCCATGTGTGTTGTTTGTGCGTGTATGTGAGCTGGAGGCAGGGTACCGGTATGTTAGTGTATTTGCCTATTTGTGAGAGCCCAGATCTGATGCCGACTTTATAGTGCTACTTCACTAAAATGACATGCCCAAGGCACCCAGCACAGCATTCCGCCCGGTCATATTATGCCAGCAACTGGGTGAACCAGTTGTTGGCATTACCCCAAATGCTAAGCGTTAAGGAGGGAATAATAACTACAATGTACCATTTTAAGGACTTCGGTATGTCCTGGCATGGTGACAGAACCCATTGCCTTCCTCACTTTGGCGAACATATAACATTTATGCCAGAAGTGAGGTATTGCCATGCAGGGCGTTAGGAAATAAAAAGTAGCTAGAAGTGGAGAGAAATACGACCTGCAGGGGTGAGATATTGGATGAATATTTCTCAAGTTTCACGTGTAGATCCCCCATGGCCCTTGGTAAAGCATTTCAAAATTTGCTGCTAATCAGACAACCAAGATGGCAGACAAGGCGACCTTCTCGAAGTTTCAAAGTCAAAGTTGGTTATCTCTATTTTCAGAAAGCATACTTTGCACACTCTTTATCAAATGTCAAATGTAGGTTTGGTGCATAAGAATTGTGTAACTGATAAGACAGTCACGATGACCAACAGGAGGTCATCTTGGTTTTTGATAGTTAAAAAGTTTTTAAGTGATATTTCTCAGAAAGTACTTGAGAGATCTTTATCAAATTTCACATGTAGGTTTCCGATGATTTTTTATTATGCATGTTACATTTTGAAAAATGATGGGGAAAACAGAATGGCCACAAGATAGCAAACTTTTTGACAAATCAATTTTGTAAGCACATTTCTCAAGAAGAACAAGTTCATTTTCAAATTGTGAATTTTTCATTATGAGGCTGATGAAAAACAACAGCAACAAAATGGTTGCCAGGTAGCCATCTAGGATTTTTAGTTTTAGTTTGTTATCACTATTTCCCGCGAAGAACTGGACAGATCTTTCTCAATATGGGTCAAACGTTAACTTCACTTTGAAATAACTAGTGCATTGTCATAGCAGTATGAGGTTTGATCAAGTTAATACAAGGTGCAGATCAGTTTTCCATAGAACCAACACTTCAACTTGCTGCCGGGGGATATATCATCCTCAGATGCCGTTATTTTCATGATTGTGAAGATTTAAAGAGATTGGGAGGAGATGGATATAACCTATATTTGTTAAGCATTTTAAGATGTTGGCGATTTGAAATGTAACAAATGGAAGTGTGGGTCCAGAAATGGATACGTTTTCCATGTTGTGTACAAGACTTATGGTTCATGGTTCATGGTGGTCGACGTCTTCGTAAGCATAAAACATTGCTTCTGTTGACGCTTCTTCATAGTTGTTCACATATTTACAGGTTGCGCAGAGGACGCGTATACAACTTTTATTACATATTAGTAGCAGGATGGTAAAAAGTTGATTGGATGATTGATCCAATGCTTATTGAGTCTAGATTTAAAAACATTTAAGGTTGGGGAATCCACAACAATTGTAGGGAGTTGATTCCAAATATTTACAATTATATTTTTAAAAGCATGTCCCCTAATATTGGTCTTATACCGATTTGTTTCCAGTTTGTTTTTCAGTTTCCCCTCGTATTGAGGTTGTCGAAGGCAGGGATGATTTGCTGGTTGGTTATATCTATGGTGTTTATCAGCTTATATATTTCTACCATATCAGATCTTAGTCTTCTATATTCAAGTGATGGTAGCCCTAGCCGACGAACACGCTCAGGGTACGAGAGATCTTTCAGGGATGGAACTAGTTTGGTTGCCCTTCTTTGAACATTCTCTGAGGAGATTTGGTCTTTTTTTCAGGATAGGTGACCACATAGTGACATTAATTTCAAGGTATGGACGTACCAAAGATTTGTAAAGGTTGAGAAACATTTGTTTATCAATACAACTGAAAGTTTTGAATATGAGACCTACGTTTCTATTAGATTTATATTTAGATACTGCAGTGTTCACTTGCTCACTAAATTTTAGGTTTTTGTCAATAACTACAACGAGATCTCTTTCACTTGACACTAGATCTATTCGATGTCTCTCCCCTTGCTGGGTGATCTCATATCTGACGTTGTTCTTCTGATTGCCTATATATATTTTAAGTTGTTTCTATTTGTCTGAATTTAGTTCCATCAGCCATTTGTCTGTCCATTCACATACCTTAGTGATGTCGTTCTGGAGTGACAATCCATCCTCATCAGCTTTTGTTGGTTTGTAGTTTGGCGTCGTCGGCAAACATTTTGATTTTATTATCGAGTGACTCGGGTAGATCGTTTATGTAGATGAGAAACAGTACTGGTCCGAGCACGCTCCCCTGTGGAACTCCACTGGTGACCAATTTGGATGATAAGTACTGGCCGTTTACAACTACTTCCTGTTTCATATCTTTAATGAAGTCACGTATCCACTCTAGTAGTACTCCTTTTATCCCGTACCCTTCCACTTTTTCAATCAGTCTTTTGTGTGGGACCTTGTCAAAAGCTTTTTTGAAATCTAGGTAGATTGTATCGATTTGATTGTTTTGGTCTAAAGCTTCTGTCCAGTCCTCAAGGGTTTCTAATAATTGTGTTGTGCATGATCGACCACTTCTAAACCCGTGCTGGTTTTCAGTGATCAGATTGTTCTCGTCTAGGTGTTTGACGATGCCATCTCTTATGATCGTTTGTAAGAGTTTCCCCACAACCGACGTGAGACTAATCGGTCTGTAGTTACCTGGATTTGTTTTTGCTTCCTTTTTTGAAGATCGGAGTCACAATTGCATGTTTCCATTTTGCAGGTAACTTTTGATGTTGCACAGATTTACGGAATATAATTTCAAGTGGCTTAATGAGTTCGTCAGCAGTTTCTTTTTATAAAATGTGGGCGAATCTGATCGGGTCCTGGTGATTTGTTTCTTTTTAGTTTGTTAATAGCTTTTCTGATCTTATCTTCACTGATAGCGATTGAGCTGATAGTATTTTGTGTTCGTGGCGGGAAACCGGGGCTTTCAATTGTGCCTTCATCTACGAATACACACGCAAAGTGTAGATTTAAAGTTTCTGCCTTTTCCTTGTCATTTGTGGTTAACTCTCCATTTCTTTTTTCCAATTGTGTTACATTCTCTTTGCACAAAAGCTATTAGTGCTTTAGTATTACCGTTACGCTTGCGATACTAAACATACTGAAATACACTGGCACTCATGTATCAGTTACCCTGACTTATTTTAACTCAATGGCCACTATCAAATACTTAAACATGTTTGGTTCATAATAACACACACTGGTGAAATTCAAAAAGGATTTCAATATTAATAATACAGTAGTATAACAGAAAATACAAATATATAAGAAAAACAATGCATCTCTGAGCTAAGACCTAAACACATATCTGATATACTAGTATTATACATGTTTCATCCTTGAGGTTCGGAAACAAGACTTTCTTTCTCCGAAATTCATCATGTTTCACGAGGGCAAAATTCGGAGAAAGAAAGAATCTTGCCCACAAGGACAATCCATATTTCACATACAATTATATCGTAGGCAACATCTTGTTGAGGCACCGTTTTCGTCGTCGTCTGTTTCAGTCATTTGGAACTCGGTTGTGGTGGCTTTGCTCATTTTCTAGGGAAGCTCCGAAAAAGGGAAATATGATTGGGAAAACTCGAGCGCGCGAGTAATGATGTATCATTCCTCTGTCATGTGATCAGTATCATCCAATCAGACATGCTGTTATAAAGATGAACAATACTATCCGATACCTTCGATCGAAACAGGAACGTTGAGTAGAATTGTTGTTCAAGAAAAGTGTAGAAGACATCAGACTAAACAGCCTGAATCCGTTTATCACTTATGATCAGTTATTGTATTAGGGTTAAGACAGAGAGAAATAACGATATCAAAATGCGTAATTAATGTTTGATTTTATGCTTCAAAATTAACATATACAAGTAGATCATATTCTAATTTAAAACAGTTGTTCCATACACTATTCAAATATTCTAAAATTCGTATAATTAAAATGTATGATATAAATGTATAGTGTTTAAGGGTATTTCTATCGACTTTTTTTTGTTTGTATAAATATGATCAAACTAGGTACGCTTTCTGTTCAATGTTGATGCTAAATTATACTGAATGGTTGTGGTGGTAGGTTTATGTAATAAGATGATGTATTAAAAAGAGTGGAATGGAGGTAAGCATGTTTACGGGTGGAGGTTCCAGTTACTGTTTTATTTGGATTAAAGAGTATCTACCATTGGTCAGTCCATGCAGTAATTGAATTAAGTATATCCACAGGTACATCAATGTCATTATCTACAATTACACATAGCATCTGCAAAAAGTCTGATATTTGAGTAACGTGATTTTTGATATGGAGTAGGAACAGTGGGGAGCACCTGCAGTTATTGTGTTCGATTTATATTCAGAAAAAAAAAGTTAATAACTAAACAATAAGAAGTATTATGAATATAATAGGGATTTTCAACATTTTGGTAAAATGTGTGTTTTCTTTCCGTAGTAATTTAGTATTAGTTTCTTTGATATCCACTCGTTTAATCAAATGTTTTGAGCAATGCCACAGGTACACAGCTATTTCTGATTGATCACCACATAAATAAACACTCTTCCGTTTATATTTTCTTAAAGATATTTCTTGTTTCGATTCCGTTTAATTTTCTTTCAGCATGGATCAAATGCTTTTCATTATTTGAATGAAAATTGAAAACTAGAAAATAACATTGAAGAATAATTTTCATTACCGTACTTTATGCTAATGAAAATCGGGCTTAACTCTTGCAATTCAACAATTTCCAAACGGGTTAATCATTATCACGTACAGGTTTAAGAGTTTCCATGCATCTGGCTAACTGTTGTTGTGGGAAGTTTTGAAAGGGATGCAGGTAAATAGTAAACCCCACTCTTTTTACAGCACACTTTTGATAATAGATATCAGACTGATCAGTAATCATACTTAGCTGTCAGTATATTTTACTAACTAGGCCCAATTCTTCTATACTTCCATTCATTTGTGCATAAATCACCTTTGAGATCTGAAGTTATATGTTGTTATTCGAAGCAATTTATGACGTTCACAAAGAAAACAATTGGAAACAGGTTAACACACCTAGTCTTATCAAACAACACTTCCATGTCTTCTATCACGTGTTGAACCCGTTACATCTCATTATGTTGGCTAAATCTCGTCTATTGAGCCAGGTAATTGATCACAAACTGGGTTAACGGCATGTTGAGATTATGATGTACCAGGTTAGCTTGATCATCAGTTACCTCTTTAAATTGGATCATGCAATCCAGCAGGATTTTCAAATACAACTGCAATTATTCGAACGGTTGATAATAAATGACAACAAATATTTACAATGTGCTATTAAGTTTATTTATTAGTGCCAGTGTTGCTGTATTTAAACCTATTACTCCGTCCCACCATTGTTACAAAGTATATCGTTCGCTCTTATCATAAAGAGATCTGATAATACAGATAACACATAAGGGCTCTATCATTTGACTGTGATTCCAGACGAGCTGATCAAATGTATGCAAATATTTTTGAAGCTGCATCAGGTGACAAAAGAAAGGCCATGAAGTTTTTTGTGGAATATTTATCTATCTAAAAAAACTATTTTTTTTTCTTTTTACGTTTTTTTTTCTTTCCCCCTCCGTATTCTGACGAAGACCGCAGTGTCGGTGATTTATTTTCAGATGTCGACATGACTGTATGAGTAGAAAATCCTGCAGACAAAAATCTCAGTCCTAGATCGGCTAAGCGTAAACCAAGTAATTCTGTATCAGCTATCGAGTCTGTTAAAACCGGAGACATCAGGGTCGTGTCCATGGACGATGTCTCCGGGTTGTTTGAGTCGTATAGTGTCGAATCCGAGTCACAAACACGCATTTCTTGTGATAATGGCAACGTAACATTGAGAGAACCGGATGTTGAATCCGAACTGTCATCTGATGTTTCTTGTGAAACAGGAAAGCATTTAAGATCATTGTGAAAATCGCCTAAAGTTGAATCTGGTCCGTCATCAGATTTTTCTGGTGAAACTGGCAACGTACGTGTTTCATCGTAGTGGGAATCGTTGAATGTTGAATACGAACCGTCAGATGTTTCTGGTAACTTTAAGTTTGTATCAGCTTTGTCTAATCCATTTCTATTTGGTGTTCCTGAAGATTCTAGCATAATGGGAAAATATAAATCCAAAACGGCCGAGGAAGGCCATGAAGAAATATCGTATTTCAAATCACTTAAGTTTTCTGCTCCATCACCATGTACTGACCTTGTTGTAAGCGACGCAGCTGAAGGTGTTCTTTTTGTTTCCGTTTTTTTGGAATTGTTGTGCAATTCAGCGGTACTATCATTTAAATCACTGAAAGTAATAAAAAATATAATGCACATTAATGAATTCTTTATAAAAAAGATTCCATAGAAAAAATATAGTAGATTCTATACTGAAAAATAATATCAAAACATTGTCCGATTGTAGGAAATATGAGGGATTTTCTTTTTACTCGTATTGGTCCTTTTGAAAAAAAAGGAAGTACATCAGCAGTTAAGTGGTGAAAGAGAAAATGAAATCAATCGCACCTTTCAAATCTCTACCCAAGGTGAAATGGTGAAAGTGAAAATGAAAGTGAATCACCGGCACCTGTCAAATCTCTACCCAGAGTTGTCGTTCGTACAACGCTGGGTAGATATTGCGCATGGGTCTATCAACCCTTCCAAAAATACGTAGAGTGTCTACTTTCAGCGTCTATAACCGGATTAATCAACATTCCGTTATGTGAGTTACTAAATGAATTGTTATCTAATTTGAAGTTTCCTTTGACATACCTGTGATGGGAATTTACAAGTTCCTCCTGTTGTCGCCAGTAAGTACCTCCAGCGTCACCTCCCCTTAACTCCACAGTCGTTCCATCACTTTTTGTTGTAAATTTTGTTGTAAATTTAATCTTTTTAAATCTCTTAGATTTTACTAGAATTTTCGAACATATCCCATATTTTTCTAACTTTTTGAATATCCATAGCCGGCGATTGTCGAAACTATACCACTGTCCATTTTTTTTACACACAGTTATCTTTGGAATCTGGTCTATAGAAGAAGATGCTACCAAAATGTCGTCAAGTGTCTTTCCGATCTGTGTATTTTTGTGCCTAGTGGTTTGTCGAAAAACACCGCTGATCGTTGCCTGGGTATAACGTATTTCAGATGGTTTAAGATACAAACCCATTGTCAAGTCTTCCTTTGAGTGCACCTATGACTTACGATGTGATATATATATACTATGCGTTTATCTTATATGTAATTCCCTGTACGCCTACACGTATTTCCGTTTTAACAATGTTTTCTGAAACCCCGTTATCTTGCGAACAGGTCTCTTTTCGGTTTGCTTTTCTTAGAAGCGGTGTTTTCCAAAAGCAGAAGTTACTGCAAAGCGAGGTAACTCTGTCAACTTTCAGTATAGCTACGTCATTCCTCTTCACATACATATTTATTTTACATTATATTTATAGATTTTTTTTATTATACAATTTTCTCTTCTTGGTTCGGAAGAATTAAAGCGCACATGGGGTATTAATGATACAGGAGACCGGAGTAAGAATCGTCCCAAGTTCTTACTTAGCATGTCGTCCCGTTAAAACACGTTTCGTTCAACCGACCAGGAAAGGATTGATGAGTAACTAGATCCTTTCATCGTCAAGCATACACGAAATAACTCTATACCGAGTAGAACTGATATAAATCTGTTTAAAACATTTTTTAAAAACTTTTTTTTCCTCCCCAGAGCATTTACAACTAATTATAAGACAGGCCAGCTTTAAGGAGCATTGGGTTCCCACAACGACAGACGTTCCCGTGATTCATTGATACTTTCATTAGTTCAATTTATAAATATTTCTTTGTTTCACGTTTTCCAGATTATAAATGAATAAAATATAAAATAGTTTAAATCACTACGACTAGCTACTAGGCATATACAGTTGTATCCGAAGCTTTCTAAATATGAACTTGGATACAATGGTTTCATTCATTCTTCTATTATTCTTTATCTTGTAAATAAGCTTTATGGAATTTATTCTTATTTTCATAGAGTAATTATTTAATAACTTGTAAGCCCTCGGAACCTTTATTAAAAAATGGGAACCTTTACAAGATATCCGATCTTTTAAGTCCACATCGAATACCTGTATTCCCGTACATTTTAATTTGCGAACTTGCCTGTGTATTTATCCCCGAGAAAATCAATTCGTGTTTCAATCAAAGTGTCTTACGAATGTTGTCTCGCGTGATATGGAATATCACACAGAAATGCCTCGCGAGATATAAATATTCTATAACATATATATGTTTTATATCAAAAATGTTCGAAAACAGGTCGTTATTTTTAAAACACAGTTGGTCTCTCATACCGTCGATGAAAACTGTACCAGGTTTTTCAGTATATATGCGCAACATAGATACCAGGGTTCCGATGTACATGTATTTGGGATGGTCGGGTGGTGCAGTGGATAGCGCACTTGCCTTTCACCAAGGCGGCTGGGGTTCAAATCTCCGGACGTGAAAAGGTTGGGGTCACCTGCCCGACCGCGTGGGTTTTCTCCGGTTACTCCGGTTTCTTCCTACTTTAAGACCTCCTGCTTTAAGACCTCCCCACGCGCTAACATCCGGGCCAACAAGATTGATAAGTTGAAATAACTTTTTTCATAATTTTTGTTCAATAAATAAAGTTTATATTTATATAAGACTAAGTAAGTCGAAACCCTTATTTAGTGAATTCGACAGGGTACCAACCTAGAATATTTAACTGAAACTATTGATTCATTTGGTTTTAACATATTTTATTACCAATATAATTAGCAATGGGATAGGGCACACGTTGAACAACGTATACAAAGCCCTTTCTAAAACTATTAGATTCGTGGTAGAAAATTACTAGCTAATTTCTAAGTTTTGTAAAGAGCAATGTTTTTTTTTTTTTTTTTTTTTTTTTTTTTGNATTTTAACATATTTCATTGCCAATATAATTAGCAATGGGATTGGGCACACGTTGAACAACGTGTACGAAGCCCTTTCTAAAACTATTAGATTCGTGATAGAAAAGTACTCGCTATTTTCTAAGTTTTGTAAAGAGCAATGTTTTTTATTCTAATGTTGGGATATTCGTTTTTCGTTGAAAAACAAAATTTTAGTTTCTAAAAACAGAAATTCCATGTAAAATATTCATTCTTAAAATGCTGATATTTTGTTGTTTCCGTTTTCAAGTGCGAACTGGATTTTCTTTTGGAAAGGGTCGAATCCCCATTGAGGTTACTATAAGTACATAATGGAGTATTTATTGTATTTGCTATTAATAGAACATTATCGGTTATGAGAGCTCGCACGATTTCTTAAACGACTTGGAAGGATGTTAGATTTATGTTTCCAAATGTGAAAAATGTTGTTTATTTCATTTCATTGATTTATATTTATTCTAGATTTTAAAATGACGACAGTTTAAGATAATTTTATATTTCCCCTAATTCCGTGGTTTTACAGCTCGTGGAAAAAAGAGTTTTGTATATTTTTCAATGGATAATCAAGTATTATTAATTGGTGTGCAGTCTTCAAATTATGTATGTAGCCATGTTTCTAATAATCGGTGACATAAATGCGCATACTAATTTTATTTTCGAAAACATCGACAGTTTACGGATCTTTTTGTTATGCATGACGGTGTCCAGCACGTACATGTGTATAGTGAATAGTTTTTGGTCAACAATTTGTATGAACAAATCTAAGACAACCCGAGCAGCTTCAATTTGGACCTTTTCAATTTTAAGCAATTTTTCCAATCATTTGCTAATTTCCATTTCTTGGGATAAAGGCCAAACTATAGAGAATAGCTGAGTATCCAACGTTTGTATTTTTTGGTTAATTCTAAGAAGTGCTTTTTTTAGCCTATCACACTACTGTATAGCGCTTTAAATTCGCGGGGTCAAATTTCGCTGTGCACCCAAATCTCATGTGCATGTGTCTTGTATTTTGAGTGTCATCATGTTAGGGTTAAGCCTCGGAAAACAGGTAAACCGTTTGAAAGCACTGATCCCGATCGCGAGCCTTCACATCCGCCAGTGACTTCACTCGAAAGAAACTCAAATGTGTATGTTCCTTTGTAGGAGTAAACTGTAATCAATTAATCACCTACTGTGTACACCTAAATAGGTTGTGGCCACTTATATGTAAGTGTTGTTTTTACATGGACTGTCCAGTTGTCCGGTGATAACCTGATTTGAGTTCATTTAAGCTTGCATAACATGTTGTGAAAAGGTCCGTAAAAGTGGTTAACGTTTTCGATAATTTCGCTGGTGTTAAGTATTCGCGGATATATAATTAGTCGAAGCGCGAATATAGCGAAATTAAAACCCCCGCGAAATATAACCGCTATACAGTTTTGCGTTATCTACGGTTTATCATGATTACGAATTTAAACATACGAAGAAGGGGTACACTCATCATACTATTTAAATACCCATGGACTATTATTTGCTCAACCCTTTATATAACTCTGATTGTGATATTAGTAAACATTTGTTGAATCCGCTGCTTGATGTCATAATTTTACTTACCGGTCCATTACGATTTTGGTTAAACGGAGTTCGAAATGTATTTTTTTCGCCTATTTATACTCTCTCTCTCTCTCTCTCTCTCTCTCTCTCTCTCTCTCTCTCAGCTAGCTATATATTTGGTGAACAAAAGTCAACGTCCGTATTACATACGAAGAAAACAAATACATATAAACTCAAACCCATCGCCCACTATTTAGCACAATGTGAAACAAAACTCAATCGAAACTGATCTGACAGACGGAGAACACTCCTATATTCCCGAACTTTTCATTGTTATATAACTAAGAGAGACTACTAACACGAAGATATGTACATCGGTATTTATTAAATAGAGCACAAACATACACAGTATGTATATAACAAGAATTGTTCAGATTCGTTTGGTCATTTCAACATTCCTCTTCATTTTTATTTCAGCCGTCATCAGCGTCACATATGAATTGTATGGCCCGACTGCATATTCCCGTAAGGGGCTATTGTCATATTTATCACCATTGCCTGTAACTTTGGTCATGGCACAGAAACAGACTTGGTTGCTTGTACGAAGTAACAAGAAATGCAGCCTTACTGGAATCGCACCCCTGGGGCCACGCTGCTTAGGGTCAGTTGGCCGGGTTCGTTTGGGTCACGGCGAGGCAGACTGACCAATTGCCCCCCGCGACGCTTCCCCGCAAATGGCGTGCGTAACGGTTCCTCTGACGTAGGGTCTCTGCCAGTCAGTACCAGATCGTATACTTGCTCAAACTCCCTGTAATATCACATGTGTGCATGGAATCAAAATTCTCCTTAAACTCCAGGTAAATACAATTAACATCAGCAATCGTGGGTGGGTAGTATACATATTTATTTGACTCTGCACACTTACATTGGGTTTAGTCATAAACAGTCTACAATCAAAAGTAAGCTCCTCCGCAAATGTATTACCAACAGAAAAAGAAATTGTATCTTAATTACCTGATTTATATAGCAAATGCTACAAAGCTCTTCAATATTTGGTATAGTATTCTTTAAAAAGGTTTTTTTTGTATACTCACTTCAACAATAATGTCCTATGGCGTAACACCTTGCAAATTTTTCTCAGCTCTGTAACCTGTGTACGGTTGAATTCTTCTCCACAATTCTAATAATACAATACATAAATTGTACTTATATCGCTAAAGAAAAACATAATGAATCAGTAAAATAAACAAAATATACCACAACCTCAACATGCCGAGAACAAATATACCACAACGTCAACATACCGAGAACAAATATACCACATCGTCAACATGCCGAGGATAAATATACCACAACGTCAACATGCCGAGAACAAATATACCACAACGTCAACAAACAGAGAAAAAATATACCACAACGTGAACATGCCGAGTGCAAATATATCACAACGTCAACATACCGAGAAAAATATACCACAAGTCAACATACCAAGAATAAATATACCACACCGTCAACATGCCGAGAACAAATATACCACAACGTCAACATACCAAGGATAAATATACCACACCGTCAACATACCGAGAAAAAATATACCACAACGTCAACATACCGAGGATAAATATACCACAACGTCAACATGCCGAGAACAAATATACCACACCGTCAACATACCGAGAACAAATATACCACAACGTGAACATGCCGAGTACAAATATATCACAACGTCAACATGCCGAGAACAAATATACCACAACGTCAACATACCGAGGATAAATATACCACAACGTCAACAAACCTAGGATAAATATACCACACCGTCAACATGCCGAGAACAAATAGACCACACCGTCAACATACCGAGGATAAATATACCACACCGTCAACATACCGAGGATAAATATTCCACACGGTCAACATACCGAGAACAAATATACCACAACGTCAACATACAAGGATAATATATTTTACAATGTCAACACACGAGAACAATACACGACACAAAGACAACACATGAGGACACATATATATAACAGAATGAACACTCGAGGACGGACCGGAAATGGTAGTCGATACAAAAGACAATCAGAGGAACCGATGGGATAACAAATCACCACGAGATAACCAGGTAAGAAATGTTTCGCAGCATAATTCAATATAGACTGTTTTTGTTTTGTTTTTGTTTTTGATTTTGATTTACTGTTTTCTGATTTCCTTCCCTTCTCACAACAGTAATACAAGTTATCGAAAACAAGCTGAAAGAAACAGTACCAAGGCAAATAAGCCAATCTATATGTAGTAGACACCAATATTTAAGGTCTTACTTAAAGAAATTATAAACAGGTATTTAAAAGCTTTTCACATTTTCATTTGGGTACACAGAGTCATATAGTTTGTGCATGGTTTCATTGAAATAAAAATTATTTCTATCAATACAAAATTTACGTTCGATAGACGAAAACAATTTTACGTGCGCTGTTTATGCATATATTTATATCTATTATGCAGATGTTTGATCTCATTAATAATCTAATATCAAATGAAAAGTCATTAACGCTGTCAGTATTAGTTGATCTTACCCGTATTATTTCTATAATATCGTATGTGCTGTAGGCCTCCTCTCTCTCCTTCTCCAGATCTGGAAACACCGTTTTGATATCAAGTCTCTCCTTTATCAGAAATCTACATATTGCTGATAACACTCGTGTCAGCTGATCCAAGGTTCTCGCTCTACGAGATGGAGGACGCTTGATAGAAATAATCAATCCACGTCTTGCGTTCAAATTTTCTATCAATTGCATAAGGTCGGAGTTCACGTCTGTTCCCTGTTGAAATATGAATATTAACACACACACTCACACACATGTTTTGTATCATATGTATTATATATACATGTGTATGTTTATAGGGTTAGAAACCGCATTTGTTTGATCTGAAAATTATACCTTGGTTACAATAGAAATACAAATATAAAATAAATTGTTTAATCAAAACTTGTAAGCACTCCATTTTATTGTTTTATAATGACTGGATGAACGTTATTGTGTACACCTACATCCAATTCAAGGTAACTGAGCTTTTTCTTGAACCTTGAGGTCAACGGTTTGAGTATTCTGAAAGCTCCATCAGCAGACAGGTGATTGTGCGATAACTGAAAGGTCAACACAAACAATGGTTGTAATACCACAATTACCCTAATAAAATAGTGTACAAGTTAAACATAGTAATGGTTGTAATACAACAATTACCCTGATCAAATATTGTACAAGTTAAACATAACAATAGCTGTAATACCACAATTACCCTGATCAAATATTGTACAAGTTAAAAATAGAAATGGCCGTAATACCACAACTACCCTGATCACATTTTGTACAAGTGAAACATAACAATGGCAGTAATACCACAATTACCCTGATCAAATATTGTATAATTTAAGCATAACAATGGCTGTAATACAACACTTACACTGATCAAATATTGTACAAGTTAAACATAACAATGGCTGTAATACCACAATTACTCTGATCAACTATTGTACAAGTGAAACATAACAATGGCTGTAATACCACAATTACCCTGATCAACTATTGTACAAGTGAAACATAACAATGGCTGTAATACCACAATTACTCTGATCAACTATTGTACAAGTGAAACATAACAATGACAGTAATACCACAATTACCCTGATCAAATATTGTATAATTTAACATAACAATGGCTGTAATCCCACAATTACCCTGATCAAATATTGTACAAGTTAAGCATATCAATGGCTGTAATACAACACTTACACTGATCAAATATTGTACAAGTTAGACATAACAATGACTGTAATACCACAATTACCCTGATCAAATATTGCACGAGTAAAACATAAAAAAACTACATTTGTTTTGTATCAAAAATACCTTATATGTGCTTGAGAACAAACAAATGCTGGAGGTTTGTGTGCTTGCTACACGTATGTTAAGATAGGTATAGCCGGACTGGGATAGAAGTACATTTACAGTAATAGAGGTTAAATATAGATAGGTTATGCCTTACACGATCACCAGATGACAAATCAAAGGCCACTCTGTAACCGATCCTAAATGGGGTTACGGAAGTAATATAGAGGGCACTAAGACTATCGCTGGTCTTTGATCATGCAATTCAATACCACTACCTGTCTAACTGGATATATTGTCTTGGGATTTCATCGGCCTGAACATGAGACCTGGTTTCTTATTTTGCAATCGATGTTAACATTTGTTTTGTTTGTTAACGTCCTATGGTATTGTACATTTCTAACGATCCTATACGGACACAACTCAGTAGACAGACGATATAAAAACAGGTAAGTTAATTTTTAGGCAGCTTACAAGAAACACTCATTGGTGGATATACCGACATAGGAAACAGTCAGTTTAAAAATATCAAATAAGCATATACGTTTGTTTGTATAATTGTGTATTACTTTATCTTTCCATGTAAATTGTGTATACTCCAAACTGATGGATCTTATCAAAGGGAAGACGTTTCCTCATACTATACCTTAAGTGACACGAGAGACCGGTGGTAGGGCAGTACCCTACTTATAGATTCCACAGCGTCATCTGTGATCCGATTTGCACTCAGGTCTACGGTAGTCAGAGCCTCGTTTCCACGTAGACCTTCCATTATATGCTGGCAACCAGTATTGCCCAATCCATTCATAGACAGAATCAACGTCTTCAGCGTGGAGTTTACCTGTGAAGTAAAAATAACTAAGACTAATAACTATTCATATGGTTAATAGATGAGGCAGAAAAATACGTTCGAGGGTGGAGTAAGCACTTGGCTAGATATATACTGTAGAGCTTAGTGCTTGTGGAATGGTAAAAGTATGGATGGCATAATATTTAGAGTTACTCCGGTTGATTAACATAAGGGTATCGCCAGAGTTTGGCAAAGATACATTTAGAGTCCTCCAATTGAAATTGTAATAGGTCTAGATACCTTATTTTTTTACTACAGTTTGGAAATAAGTTCCCTTGTGGACCAAGATAAAAATACGACGTCTTGATGTGAACGGGAACCAGGGTACCCGGAGAAAACCCAAGTTGTCGGGTAGATGACTAAATGACTTCCTAATTCTTAGTGAAAGTTGGGTGCGTTATCTATTGCATCATACGTCTACCCATCACTCTAGATGCCATAAGAATTCTGTCTTTTGAGTTTGTATCGACTGGAGTACTCAAACATCTGTCCAAATAATTACAAAAAAATGTCTTTGTGGGTTTTAGGTATGATGTACTGCCAATCTGATTAAAATCATATGTTACATGGCTTCGTTAACTTCGTACTACGCCTGAACATCTGAGTGTGCCGCGGCCAGGGTCACGTTCAGGTGACCTTTATATTTATAAATATTCATTAAATTTTGACCAATCAGAGACCCTCTTTCAAAAGGGCGCTCGGAGTTGTAACAAATATGGCGGACATTGATGAGAATGATGCGACAGTTCTGAAGTTATTTGAGATTGATCGTCTGAAACACGAACAGAAAAAGTTATTCGAAACTTTATTAAAGAAGAAAGACTGTGTGGTGTGTCGCCTACGCAAATATTACCCAATGGGTACGTTTTCCTTGCCGTCGTAGAAACGTCAGTTCCAGCGCCATATTTGTTTTGGAAAGCCAATCTGTTCGATACCCCTCGCTATTTATCTATCAACCATGATATTCCGATTCGCTGGCAAACTTTTGTCAGCGCGCCTCTAATTGGTTCATCTAAAGGTCACTTGAACGTGACCCTGAGCGCGGCGCATTCAGATGTTCAGGCGGAGCCATGTAACAGATGATTTTAATCAGGTTGGATGCACTGCATAACGAACAACGATACTGGTTATTATGCACTTCCTTGTCAGGATTCTGTCTAGAAAATGTAAAAAGTAAATTGAATGCTCAAAATTTTGGAGATTGAATAAGTCTGGATAAAGCGTACGTTTAGAATCCCCCTGTCGTGTTTTTAATGTAGTCCATATGCTGTCGAAATCCTCTGACACTATGTTTTTATACAGAGCCCTAATTCCAAATAACAGATTCCATGTTTTCATGCATCAATGCCTGTCCATTGTATAGCCCCTAGTGTCAATTCCAGCAGGTATTGGAATACAATGGAATCTTACTGCATGTTTGTACACTATTCTAATTTAAGTCGACGTTTATTGTTTGATTTTTAAAGCCCCGATATCGTAGGGATATTCTTTTGTGAATTTGTTAAGAGTTTCAATGCCTTTATTATATTTAGTTGACGTTTGGATAACACATTATTGCTATAGAGTTCGTTGATGTCCAAATATATTAATGAATATCCCTCTAATTATAGACGTTGATATGTCATTGAGGGTCAGATATAGGGTTTATATTGACATATTTTGGAGTGGGTGAATATGGGTTTTATTATCAAGTGTGCAATATATATGTATATATTCTTGTTTTGATACCTTTATACCCGTGGCTATCTTGGCAGCTCCTGTTTTCCCAATCTTGTTCCAGCTGAGATCCAAGTATTCTAGTGTGACATTGGTCTCTGAATAAAATAAAGTTATATTCAATAAATATTTGTCGAAAAACTTAAATCAAATACAAGATTACATTGAAAACGGCCGACTTCAATTCACTTTCTTTTTAACAGTCATTAATGCAATTGTCATTAATAAAACAGAATTCGAAATTGAAAATAAATGTTACGTGATATTGAATGCTCGAATGTTGTCATTTTAGTGTCCGTTACACAAACTATGTCGAAATTCTCAAACAGTTAATACACTTAAGTTCTCCTAACATACTGGTCGCTGAAATGGTAATGACAACATTTGAAAATCGCATTTTTACTTGAAATGCATCAATCTTTATAAAATAAGACGGCGGGGTTTAAATTTATAAGCGTGCAAAGACGCACGTGATAAACAAACAAAAATCTTACCCTCGGGGTTGTGATCTCCCCATCCATATTACACATGATTGTTAAATTGTAGTGTACTACTGCAATAGCTTACCTAGGGCGCGTCCTATGGCCATAGCACCAGCATCCTCGATCTTGTTTTTGCCGAGTCGTATTTCTTTCAGGTATACATTTGTCTGCAAGATAAACTCGCATTGTTTCTGAGGTACCAAACGTAGAAGCATATTGCAAATGTGTATAACAGCTAGTACATTACCCAGCAATATTAGAAAGAAACTGCACTTGATTGTTATCAGATAGTAGAGATAATTTGTATCCCGATACACTAGTGAAGATATATAATAATAGCCTGTTGATGTTATTGTTGTGTGTAATAATACCCACCTTTCTTGTAAAGTTGTATTTTAAAAGAGTAAGAAATAATAACAAACCTCTATCACTTCAGCAAAGTTTTCACCTCCTTGTTTACCAAAACCATTACCTAAAATAAAAGTTTAAGGCGCACAGACTTAGCATCTGAACACATAGATCTTGTTATATGGTCGTTCAACACTACGAGATCTAATATCAAGTAATCTATATTTGTGTGCATTGTATAAGTTATATGTATATGGTAACGGTCATCAAACTGACTGAATCATAATACAGAGATATATCAAAGCACAATTTTGTTGTTACATGAGGAATTCGACACGTGTTGATCACTGTAATGTCATAACTAATACAATAAGGTTAAATTTAATAACGAGAAAAGATAAAAATGCATCGTAAAATCAGTATACAAGATTGATTGCCTGTCTGGTTGTAAGTTTCCTACCTGTCAGGTCGACTTTGGCGATGTGAGAGTTGTTGAGTAGAATGGTCTTTGTAATATTCGAGCCAAAACTACCCATAGGGTTGTTGGAGAGATTCTGTGTAATGCGATGAGGTTTAAATGAATAATTCTTATATACAACAATATCGTGACAAAACGTTACACTTTATCATTCTGTTCTTGTCGTTAACATTTTTCTCATTGAGATACCATTTTGTAAAGAGTAATCCAGAAGTGCATCCTGCGTGCAGAAGAAAGCATCAATTCTAATAAGCGTTACCAATAAATAAAAACTAGCGTGTCTTTTTATAAACCTATGTTTCTTATGTTATACTTGTTATGATCTCACCACTTCCATCACGTATTTATTCTTGAGCAGCATCTCAGCCAGAGCTATCATTTGTTTGGGACCAAGTCCATTGTCTTCGAGGTCTAGTTTTTTAAACGTCGAGTGGTTCTGTTAACAATAAAACAATACTATTTTAAAGGTACTGTTATTGCCGTTTCATTATTTACTGCCATGGAAGTCAGATGTAGATGGATTGTTTCTCCTTTAAGTACATGAAATAAAGTGGCGAGGTGTTGTAAGAAGGTTTTAACGTTGAAATAAAACACAATAACGAAAAGAGTCATTTGAAATATCTTGTGACATATTCTTATGACAAACACGTAGTTTTGAACCAACAAAAGCATAGTTATATTAATACTAAACCCGTTTTATTGGCGGGAGCTGTTTATTTAAAATATACTTGATTATATATTTGGATATCATCATCGAATTACGAGGGTTTAACAAATATAATTTTATACGTTTTATTTTTGTGTCCTGCATTAAGAAAATTCGTCCGCCATAAAAGCCATAAAAATACATAGATATTGTCTTCAGCGAAATTGCAAACACTTATTGAACAGAAAAGATACTAACATGAGTATGTGACAGCATTAGCCATGTTATTAATTAAAGAATGGGGTGCTTTCCTACAAAACACAACTATCAAGATGAACGTATGGGAGAAAACATCTACAGCTGAGAAAAATGGTATCTTCAGGTAATTAACTTCCCAAAGTGTTTATGTCTCATGAAGCATTGATTGGTGTACTTTAGTTAAAGGAGGATTTGTTCCTCTGATAAAATTTCCATGCAATTTAGTATAGGTAAATCAGCTTAATATTCCCCTGTGGAATGCATCTTGAAGCTTCATATTTCGTAGAATATGTCTGCCTAAAATACTTATCTTTTCAAACGGCTTTTTTGACCGGCTCTGATTGGGGCGTAGACAGTTATCAGCCTAGCAATTGGTCAGTTGTTTTATGTCTAAACCAATCAAACGACGTTGCCATGACATACCCAAACGAACCAGATAATATATACTAAGAGAGGAACCCTAATATTTCGGATACTGTTGAAATGTACACATCCCTGTTAAAAGAAAAATGTCATTAGATATTGATTACACTGACCTCCATCTCCCAGCCCATGGCCCGACTAGATATTGATTACACTGACCTCCATCTCCCAGCCCATTGCCCGACAGTCCTTTGGACTGAGGTACCGATGTCGCATGGTCAGTACGTCGTCCACAGAGTGCCGTATAAAGTACTTGTTTGGCACTGTTTTGTACTTCCGGCACAAATTCTTGTACTCGGGAAATTCACCGTCATCTTTAATCTGCTTCGTCCTCTCGTCAATTACCAGCTCAATGCCTATATAATATTTATATAAAAACATAATATATATATATAACGTTTTTACAATGTATGTTAAAATAACGTTTGCATGCAAAGATGTATGTCAGTGTTGGTAGTTATAACTATACAATTTGTTCTATTAGATGCATGTCAATAACCAGATTCATAAATATAACGTTTGTATTTCAACGACAAAAATGACAGATATATAACGTTTGTTATTTGATGTCTGTATGTAATCAGATTTATTAGTAAGACTATAATGTTTGCACGAACTTGATGTCTGTAAATCTGTAATTAATGTAACAACTAAATGTACCGTATCGACATGGTTTTAGCATAACAAAGGTCAGTACTTATGTCAATAATATGAACTAACAACGTTGCGTAAATATGTTACTTTAACACGAATCTTGCAACAGTGCATTTTAATACTAAATAAATTATTGATATTTGTAAAGAAACATTTGATAAAAAGTCAATCAATTAACGAGCTCAACAAACAAATATTGTTATGCGTTATATGTAGCCATTTTCTCTACTTAGAACTTATCTGTGGTACTAAACATGTTGGCTATATCGGTTAATGCTACGTCTATGATAACGTTTAACAAACACTCAACACATTTAAAAAAAATAAGTTCTACGAACACACAGCATTGTATAAATAGGCTAAAATGTATGTCAGTTAACTTCTATGAATACCCGTCATTGCAAATGTATGTTAAATATATCTATAGGTAACAAGTACATATACTGTACACACATATACTGTACACATATATTGTACACATATACTGTACACATATACTGTACACATATACTGTACACACATATACTGTACACATATACTGTACACACAAATACTGTACAAACATATACTGTACACACAAATACTGTACACACATATACTGTACACATATACTGTACACATATACTGTACACACAAATACTGTACACAAATATATTGTACACATCTACTGTACACACATATACTGTACACATATATTGTACACACATACTGTACACATATACTGTACACAAATATACTGTACACATATACTGTACACAGATATACTGTACACAGATATATGTCTCTTTCAATAGGCAAATCTCAATGATATCTTTATGTTATATCTGTCTGTCGTCGATATCAGTTTACATTCTATATGTGTAAATCACAATTATGCTATGTATGTTTGTCAATAATACGATCTATACTGGCGAAGTAAACTCGTTATACAATTTTCCGGCATCACATCCATAGCTGTATGTGTGAAATCCATTTTAAGCTGTGTCTAAGCATGGCTTATATGTGAACTATGCATTGTGAATGGTTGCCAATATTTCTAATTTATTCAGACTATACTGACTGATGGTGTACTGTATGATTTCCTGTCGTTCAGTCTGTTTTTAGCTGGTATCATTATAGGTATTTCAAAAAGGGACATAATTTATTTGAATCCTAAACAGTTCCAAGATTGTAATTTTATAATAAACTTCCATATCATGTGAAGTCAAAGAAAAAGACATAACAATTTTGTTAAAACAAATTTGACAGATTCTTGTAGAATTAACGTATATTATTCAATTATAGCCTTTGGCTGAGGTCGATACCTGGATTTATCGACCCGAGAAAAGATATATTAACAGAGGACGCAGTCCGAGGTCAATATATCTTTTCTCGGGTCGATAAATCCGGGTATCGACCGAAGTCAATTATTTTATTATTTTCAAAAGAGTAATGTTAGCAATCCGAAAAAAAATCACAGCAGAAATCTACGGAAGTGGGACGATGCGTTCGTTTGGAGACACGTCATAATTCTATTTTTAGAAACACCCATGTCTTCAACAAAAATCACGCGCTCCAAGTCAATTTCGGTTTTTATCGGTGGGCACGTGATGCACTCCTGTCCAATCTCTTGTCAGGAATAATATGAAAAAATGATAACCAACGTTATATTTACCCAGGTCAGTATCAAGGTCTGTATCATAGTCCTCGTCATCACTCGCTACCCAAGTCCGTTCTGCTAATCGACTCGGAGTTTCAACATCAAAATATACTTCCAAATCTTTTTTCAACTTAGACGTTCTTAAAAGTCGTTCTTTTTTCTCTTCATACACTTCATCGTCCAAAACCTTTCTGTTGGTCCACGCCGTCTTTCGAATTTCAGCTGATGTTTTTGACAAACTAGAACTTGGACTATTTCTATCACTGTTTTTTGAGTTACTGGGAAAACTCTGTTCCATGCCGTTCGATATCTTTTTCCGCATTTTTGCACTGTTCGGAAGTTTCACGTTATTGCTGTTGGAGTGTTTTCCGCTTCCAAAGCTACGTTCCGACTTTAAGTTTAGAGACGTAGGTCGGTTTATGCTCGGAAGGGAGGGCGTGATACTTGCGGATGGTGAACGGCACTGAAAGGCCCTGTCCATCTGAAAGACAACAGAAAATTCTTTAGTTATCTTATGAATAAAGACGACACCACAGTGTCTACCGACAACTCAAAATCCAAAGTTGAGATTTAAACAAGAACTGAAATCCCATAAAAAGAATAACGAATCTAATTTTGAATCTCCATAAAAAAAACTCGATACTGAACCAGATGACCCGGAAGGTGAGCGTCTCCGGCAAAACATGGGCCACCGGACATGTTGTTATTCTGTTTGTATGTAGCTATATAACTATGTATTGTCTATTTATTTTTATGGTTATAATTCGTTATTAAGTTTAATTTCCAATATCTAAATATTATCAAAATATTACACAAAAGTAAAATATAAAATATAGCAATTGTTACAATGATTTTTTTCTTATACAAGTTATCAAAGTAATTGTTTATAGCATGTCATTATTGCACAAGCAAATCATCAGTGAAATGCTTATTCCGTCTTTTCATATTGCAGAGTTATCTGCTCTTGTGAGCAGATATTGATTGTTACGTCATTTGTTTGTGTGTGTAACATCATCAACTTTTGAGGAAACGACGTAATTGTCTCACACAAACCAATGAGGTAACAATCAATACCTGCTCACAAGAGAAGAATACTCTGCAATACGCAAAGACGGAATAAAAATGGGTTTGTTTTATCAATAAATCATCAAATATTAGTATAAGCAAAATATTGTGTCAATCTTTCTACTTTCTCCTTTCAGTGAGTTTTTGTTTCCTAGGTATCTACTTCTAGTATCATATACACTTTTTGTATATGTATAACACATCACTCTGCCAATATGTTCTTTTTTTTATAGTATTTATACATTACAAGGTAAGTTGACGTATAGTCAATTACATTTCAAAGCGGTTATCCAGTCCACCTTTTATAAGCCACATCGCATGCTTTAATACAGACCTCGAGCAATATCAGGATATGAGAGGGAAGGACAAATAAACCAGCAAACTGAAAACTTACCTTAGACAATGTTTCTTTCTAATATTCAAAACTTCTCTGATTTATTATCACCCAGCTTTAGTCTGTTGTAAAACATCATCCCACTGGACAAAACTTAATATCACCGGCACAAACCTAAACACACGACAGTCCAAATACCGTATGTTTGGAGAACTCGTGGACCCGTATCGCCAATGTTTATTGTAAATGATAATCCGACCCTAATCACGACCCTATGGAAAATAAACACCAAACGGGTGTATCGACAGTGGGTAAGCTGAGATAGAGAGCTTTAATCTGTTTATACAAAGGGCACAGGCTCTAATCTGATCAATGTTATAGTATATACCCCTGTAGTATGGTGTAACTTTAAAGGGACGTGTTCCCCGTATTCAACTAATTTCTTATGAACTAACCATAAGAGTTACATACATAGTACACTATACTGGGCTTGGCACGTCAAATAGAAACACTGTATCATAGCGTCAACACCCTAGGACCACAGCGTCAACACAAAAGGGTAAAATATAAAACAATGTCAACACACAAAATATACCACAGCATCATGAACACCGTTACGAATGCACCACAGCGTCAACACAAGAGGGTAAAACATACAACAACCTCAGCATACAAAATATTACACAGCGTTAACACATAAGGGTAAAATATACCACAGCGTCAACACAAGAGGGTAAAACATACAACAACCTCAACATACAAAATATTGCACAACGTCAATACACAAGGTCAAAATATACAATGGTGCCGACACAAAAGGGCAACATTTACTACAACGTCAACACAAAAGGACAAAATACACGCCAATGACAAATCACAACGACTTAGTATATCATAGACTCAACACGCCGCTACAGGACAAACATCAACACACAAAGACAAACTATACCACACTGTCGGCAATCAAGGGCAAAACAAAAGGATACGATTGATCTCATCGTCAACATATAACGGCAAAATATACCAAAACATAATGACAGAATATAGCATAGCGTCAACCCAAAAATACAAAATATACCTAAACATAATGACAGAATATAGCATAGCGTCAACTCAAAACTACAAAATATACCAAAACATAACACTCAACGACAAATGTACTATACCAAAACATAATGACAGAATATAGCATAGCGTCAACCCAAACCTACAAAATATACCAAAACATAATGACAGAATAAAGCATAGCGTCAACCCAAAACTACAAAATATACCTAAACATAATGACAGAATATAGCATAGCGTCAACCCAAAAATACAAAATATACCTAAACATAATGACAGAATATAGCATAGCGTCAACTCAAAACTACAAAATATACCAAAACATAATGACATAATATAGCATAGCGTCAACTCAAAACTACAAAATATACCAAAACATAACACTCAACGACAAATGTACTATACCAAAACATAATGACAGAATATAGCATAGCGACAACCCAAAACTACAAAATATACCAAAACATAATGACATAATATAGCATAGCGTCAACTCAAAACTACAAAATATACCAAAACATAACACTCAACGACAAATGTACCAAAGTGTCAGAACACAAGAAAATATACCAAAACATAATGACAGAATATAGCAGAGCGTCAACTCAAAACTACAAAATATACCAAAACATAACACTCAACGACAAATGTACCAAAGTGTCAGAACACAAGAAAATATACCAAAACATAATGACAGAATATAGCCTAGCGTCAACTCAAAACTACAAAATATACCAAAACATAACACTCAACGACAAATGTACCAAAGTGTCAGAACACAAGAAAATATACCAAAACATAATGACAGAATATAGCATAGAGTCAACCCAAAACTACAAAATATACCAAAACATATTGACAGAATATAGCATAGCGTCAACCCAAAATTACAAAATATACCAAAACATAATGACAGAATATAGCAGAGCGTCAACTCAAAACTACAAAATATACCAAAACATAACACTCAACGACAAATGTACTATACCAAAACATAATGACAGAATATAGCATAGCGTGAACTCAAAACTACAAAATATACCAAAACATAATGACATAATATAGCATAGCGTCAACTCAAAACTACAAAATATACCAAAACATAACACTCAACGACAAATGTACCAAAGTGTCAGAACACAAGAACAAATTCAATATCAAGAGGAATCGCGGTGACTCCAAAAAAACAATAAATACAATATATCCACTTTATTTGCAGCATTTGAAGAGCAATCAGTTACATAATTATGCAATAAACGACTGGTTTGATTTTCCAAATGAGGATGAGTCAATCGCTAGCGGTACTGTTTATTTCCCAACTGCGTGCCATAAGGATCAGAAAGAGGAGTTATTTGTTCCACGTGGCAATATAAATTCCTACTGATTAATTCAAATATTTATTTCCTCACCTTTAGGAAGAATACCGTCTCCGATACATCATATTAGCCGTATCGGATCCAGCACTGAGCATTTCAGATGTCATTTCCATCCTTGTATCGAGGCCGGGACTTACCATTTCAGTTGGCACTTCCCTTGATCAGATGAATATTAATGATGCACCTGGTTCGATCTTGGCAAACATTAATAATTACATCCTTGTATACCACTCCCCGCTACCCAGGTTAAGCTTGTTATAAGCACATCGGTTTAAAAAAAATATAAGTACAAGTGTACCAAAGCTATCAATAAAATATAAAAATAGAAATAAACTATTGAACTGAAATATAAGCAAACGTTCAGTACTACAACGTTCGTTCAAGAATAACCACGTGATGACGCCATTATACATATATCAAAATAACTATCAAATAAAGTTTCTTGATGGACGTCGAACTTATGATGCCAATTATTGCCGTATCAATTTAGAAATATGATTAAAAAGCCAGTATCATGATCCTGATTGATAAAACTGTTCTTTATCTAATAATTGATTGATCTTCAGTCGTAATTGTTCAATTAGTTCTACTAAATATATAAATCAAATTTGTCACTAAGGGAGAAATACTCATGTATTGAATCTGTGTCTTTAACACATCCGTGTTTGATGTTATGGCTCGACTATGTAAACTGGACATGCTATACTCATTGTATATTTTTAAATTTAAAACAATGGCTGTACGATTGATTTACAGCGTTACCGAGTAAATGGCTGTTTGTGGCAGTCCGAGAGACAATCGAAGTCCACTCCCGGTCACACCAAAATATTTATTTTATACCACGGGTAGTTTTCGATATCCGATGTTAATTGTTTTAACTATGATATTGCATTATCATACTTATCCATTTAAATAATTTATAAACCCAGGCCTAATTGGGCGTAAGGAATGAGTATGACATGCGCAGTACTAAATTAAAAACATAATTGTCGGTATACTTCTCTGGTTTTTCAAAAGTTTTGATCAATTGCACGGTTCATATGTAACAAAAATACATGTAAATAAATTATTCGGCCTATCAAATACGAAAAGAATCTTGCACTGAAGATGTTCTGGAAAATTACTTGAAAATGTATTGGTGTCGATGGGGGGAAAAGTAAGTTAACATTTCACTGCACAAAATGACCATTCATCTAGGATTCGTTTGGATTATATCTGGCTAACAGAATGATAATTACCATCTAAAACGTTCCAAAATATATGTAAAAATCGTAATGGGTAGGTGTTCCCACTAAACTAGTTGTAGCGTTACAATTTTCTGTGTTTTTGATGCAACAGAAGTTTTTGTCAACTAGCGTTTTAAATCAAGTCTAAAACACCACTTGCGTGAGCTCTGCAACTTCAATTGAAGGCGTTTAGGGTATAAATAGTCACTAAAAATATATTCACTTTAAGAGATAAAAGACATTCAGATTCTCCAATAAAACAGCATTACACTACTTAACACTATCTTATAACAAAACAATAAGTTTAAATATGACATCCACCGAAGGTTTAAACGTTAGTGGTTAAAGTGACTAAAAACAATTTGTTTCAACAGGTAGAGGAAAGTATTAGTGAATTAGTTTACAGGCAGGTGGCTAAATCTAGAACTACTCTCATGCAGACGGTATGTAGGAAAACATTCGTGTACAAGTAGGGTCCACAATGACGGTATGTAATAAAGCATTCACTTTTGGTGAATAGGTGCAGGAGAGGGGCTAGGTCTACAACTAACACTGACGGTATACAAAGCATTCGAGAGTATTGCACAAGTAAGGTCCGCCTAGAAGACATTCATGATAGCATTCACTTTGATGATTGTGTGCATGATATGGAGGAAGGTCTAGTAAAACTTTCCCTATCAAGTAGGTATACCGAAAAGCGATGATGATTGTGTAAACGGGTAGAGATAGAAGTTCTAGAACAAATTGTCCTGCTCAGACTATGTAAGGAAAATATTTCTAAATGATCGTAATGGGGATGGTTGTTTATTGTGTCTGTTAATTACCTCAACAGCAAATACATTGTTTCTGTATTTGTCCATGAAGGTTAACTAAATATTTCTTTATAAGCGAATGCCAAGTTGACTTACCCGATGTGTTATGTTATAACCCTGTGTACATTAGGTTTACTATCATCGGAAAATTCACCAATTGATCTGAAGGATGCAACACGGGTAAGTTACGTAGAGTTTGTCCCAGGAAGTCAGGCAAGTATATAAATATTCCAGATAAGGAACATGCAGGACCCGCCAAGATAAGACTTGACATGTTTACTCTTTATTGGCAATTTCGCCGCCTAACATCCATCACTGCGTCAATACTATCAAACAGCACATTCGTAACGTATTGCCCTTCCTGGTAATATGTGCGATTTAAAATTTGTGTTCGTGTTGCATAGATAATACATCACAGTCTTACAATAGAAGCATCCGACAGGCTTGTCCTTCACAACGCCCTCGTAATCACAACCGATGTACATGCATCCGTCCACGGAATGTTTCCTTGCACTCCAGGACACACTTTGGGGATTGTTTATGACAACACTAACCTTTATATATAAAGGGTCTGGAAATGTCACGCAAAAAATATCTCGCCGACAAAAACTGCAAAGTCGTTAACCTTTGCTGAGTGCTACAATGAAAAAAATGATATGGTTTAAGATCTTTGTACTTCTGCTGCAAGAAGACTTTGTTTTTGGGAAACCGTTGGAGGTAAAGTATTTGATGAGTTAGACTTTTGTTAGTTTTTGTATTTTGTCTATTTTTATATAAAACTTAGGAATTCGAGAGAAAATACTGCCTACAGACAAACTAGCTTTTTCAGCGATAGGGTATAACCCGGGGACGCGCTCACTAGTTCAGCGTCTAGTTCAGCAAGGCCGAACGTGGTCAGATGTTGGACAAAAAACGGGACTCTCATATAAGTCCCTATTTAAAGTATAAAACATATATTTACACTGTTGTCTATCTTTTGTAGTAGATCATTCTCTTTATTTGTATTACATTTAGGATATTAAGCGGCTAAATATTATCTCTTTCAGACAAGAAACCTGATGCAAACAACTCGTTGAATGGAATATTCGAACAAATTTACTCCTTAAATAAAGTAACAAATAATCCAAATGTCTCCTAAAGGAATGTATTGATCCATTTTCAAATAAAGTGTGCCGTGTTTAACGTTGATTTTCATATATAATACTGGACTTGCGTATGCAATAGGGTACATTTACAGTATTGTATTACTTACAGCAATATTCTGATGCATCACAAGAACAATCACTTCTCCATTCAAAACACTCTCCAAAGAATGTGTCTGAGCCAAACCGACCCTCGGAGGAGTGGGGTGTCGAGGGTGCTTTCGAGTCCGACATACAACTGACCCCACTTCAGGCCAGAGTCCTAAATGCAGACATTGTGCTTACCGAGTCTGGACAATTTCGCAGTAAGCGAAAGGCATTGTCCAACGCCGAGTCCCTTTGGCCCTCTGGAGTAATTCCGTATCAGTTCGAACAAAATTTCCGTGAGTAAATATTGAACATATATCAAATTGCATTCGCTTCATTTCATACTTAATATCTATTGACGTGTTTAAAGAATACATTTGTTAAATCGATGATGACCCCAAAATTGTTGTTATATTTGCCAAATGCATTGCGACACAAGATCCTGATATCCATGCAATCTCAATATGTTGTTACCCATATCATGACAATAGGAGGTCCTGGAATTTCCGTGACCTCGCGATCTATATATCATTGTCGACCATATCATGGTAACACGAGGTCCCGAGATCTTTACAGAACGCAGTCTCAATAACTACATAACCTTTATGTCATTGTCGTTATCAGCATGGCAACACGAGGTCCTGGAGGCCCTTAAACACTGGGAGAAGGAAACTTGTATTACGTTCCGAGATGTTTCGACCAGTGTTCAGTCCGAGCTTGGACATACAAGCATTGTACAATTTGCACATGGACCAGGGTAAGCAGAGCGAATATGTTGAGTCCTGGTTTAATTATACAGTCAAATACATTAGGTATCTTAGTATGTATACGAAACATAGCTAATTATCCACTGTCATTAGATTGAATGTTAATTATTTCATGTCATTAAAACGAATGTTAAATGGTTTGAAAATCAATTGGCTACTTTGGCGAATGTCCAATGAATGACGATCTACAATGTCTAAATCAATAGAATCATAAATCATATACTGTATACCGTGATATTTTCGCCGAAGTTTCACTTTCGCCTTTTCCGCCCTCCCAAATAAGGGCAATTTATGATGACAGAAAAAAATAGTACACAGCATACATTATATAGTAATTACATGTGGAGGGCGAAATTAACACTAGGCGAACATGGATTTTATCGACAGGCCGAATTTTGGACTGAGCGAAAGTTTCCCTGTATACATTATTCATATAGGTTATGCTATGATGCTGAAGGGTTTTGATTGCTTGATTCAGTCCAATATGTACAACAAACAAGTAAAAACTTAACGGAGAAAAGATGTCTCCATAATATGTGTATCATGTTTGTTCTTAAAACAATGAGTGCGATGAGAGTATTGTAATACTTAATATTTTGTTTACATGTGCAGATGCTCGTCCACCATCGGTAGAAGTAGTGACGGGGGGATACAAGAAACATTCCTCGGCGATTCGTGTAACTCGGTAAGCTGTTAGAACGTATGTATGGTCAGGAGAAGGTCAACATCAACCTGTGATAAATGTCAGGCACAAGAACTAGACTTATACATTTTATGAATTAAGTGATAATTTGTAACGGATACTGCGCCACGGAACTAAGATAACACAATAACCTAAATCATTTGCACTTAATCTATTTAACCCTTCCTATAAAAAAGGTGGTTGTAGTTCAGCAATGCAAATTGTTCACTACCAAGAACTATCTTGTGTAGCTCTATCTATTTTAGCACAATCAAAAGACCAGGGGCGTTAAGGGTCATTTCCGGCGTCATCGGGGATTTAGACTTAGTTATTATATTCTTAACCTGGCATAAATAACTACCCAAATATGAAATTTCAAACTAATTCGACATCTAGTTTAGGACATATGGCATTACAAAGAGAGACATAAACCCGCATTTTCAAAATAAAATGCATGAATATTTTACTGTTGTGAACTTATTGGTTCAAAAGTAGCCATTTTAAAGGAAATTAGCTAAACACTCTTCAACTTTTGAAAGCCTCCGCATGCACCGAACACATAAATATTTGACATGCTTATTCGTAGAAAGTGATTTTTGTTTGTCACATGCGGAGGCTTTCGTTTCTGCATGCTAGCTGTCGAAAAACACCATCTTTTGGCTACTTCTGCATAGCACGCAGTTGCTTTACGTGTAGGCATCTACATGTACCCATGCGCATTGGAAAACATGTGCACCAAGAAAGATAGCCCTAATTAACCAATATGTTATTTAACAAAATTGGTATATAAATTCAAGTTGAAATTTTCAATTTTGAATTGATTTACACAGCTACGATATAAACAACTGGAAAAACTTCAGTAAGCGCGATTATAAATTAAAAGCACAATAATAAAAGCGAAAATAAACGCTAAAATGATTTTTTTGCTAAAATAAGTACACTAAATGTCTTACATTTATTTTAAAATGTTTACTATTTACAGGTTGGTTCTGCAGAGCACGAAATAGGACATGTGATAGGGTTTTTTCACGAGCAGTCTCGCCCAGACCGAGACGAACACGTGCATATTCACAGAGACAATGTTGCGAGAGGAAGATTGATGGAATTCCGGAAGTACGATACTAATCGTATTCGAACCGACGAACCTTACGACATTGGGTCTGTAATGCACTACGGGCCTACAGTGAGTAGACTACGGAAAGACCAAAGTCTTGGTTGTATAAACCTTCTGTTGAAGTCATTATTCCACAAACGAAATGTAATATATGTTTCTAGAAATGTTCCCTCAAATAAATCATTAACAAGTTACAGACTGATAATGAAGTGAAAGCTGTAAAACAGACTGTAATATCACTACACTTTGAATTTGGTATATCAGTGGTTTAGCAAGGACGGGAAAGCTCACACTATCGACCCAAGGGACACGAGAATGATGCCATGGATGGGACAGAGGAAGGAACTCAGCTTTATGGACGTCAAAACGGCCAATAAACTCTACAACTGTGGCAGTAAGTGACCTATAACACTACCAAATACAACTATATTACTGGACAAAATCTATACCCTTCACATTTACACTAGTATATACCCTTCGTGGCGCTTCTAGATTCATTAATACCTGCCCGATAGAAAAGGGGAAGGGGGTTGTAATGTTTATTTTGGGAGAAAACAACAAAAATATACTAAATCCAGGTGAATGTAATAAAATTAGTTCAAAGCGATGATACGACGGCTAAAAGAACGGGCGATAGTTCTCTTCTGTGGTGACTGTCCGACCCTGCTGGCCGCAAACTTGGGAAATAAAATAAAATAGTTTAAACTTTGAAATACAAAAACCAAAAGGGGTACAAACAAATGTTCAAGTATAATCTCGAGATTGATTAAACGGCATCATCAATCTCGAGATTCTCCAATAACATTAATGTAAGTAAAGACGGAGTGACGTCACGCCATCTGTCGTCATTTTACATTTTTAAATGAGTTGATGAAAATGAGCATTATACTTTTAATAGATATATCTATCTATAATGTATACTATATTTTTTTATAAAGAGGGGATTATCATTTTTACTAAATGATATTTTATAATGTTAAGCATGAAAAAACCCTATTTAAACTAAAAAGAGTGTAACTGAATGGCATACCGAATGTAATACTGTTCTTCGTATGTCAAAGCTATCATTTGTCATTGTAACTCCTTACATTAAATGTTCATGTGTTGTCATGCATTACAGGTAAATGTTCCCCTGGCCTGATGTGTGAAAACGGTGGATACGTTGGGCCGCAATGCACGTGCGTGTGTCCCAAACAACTGACCGGACGGACTTGTTCCCAAACAGTTCACGAAAACATGGGTAACTAATTAATTTAATTACATTTTTTTCACATTAAATATCTACTTAGGTTATTCATCCTGGCGTGTATATTTTGATATTTGCTCAATTGTCATAGTTATACTTGTTGGTAATCGATAAAATCCTTGTACTGTATTACTGACTTTATATCGAACGGACAATTTAAGACTGTGGTGGAGTTTTGGATGAGCCCACTGGTACGATTACCTCCCCTGGCTACCCAGACAAGTACAGTAACAAGGCCGCGTGTAACTGGATGATCCAGGTAAGTACTCATACACAACCAGTAACTTAAATAGTGACTAGACACGCCCACCTGCACGCCGCCGTTTTAAAGACACCTCCACGCTCGGTATCTATCAGACAATTCTAATCACGTCCACACTACCAGTAGTTGTAGACAATTTTAGACACTTCAGCATTACCGGTAGCTGAAGACAATACCTATATATAGTTCTAGACAGGACCACATTATCGAAAGCTGTGGGCTCTTTTATTGAAGACAGAAGATATCAAGCCATCATCATATATAGCAATCCCTTTACAGTTGCTCTGCATCTTCCACTGCAATGCATAGATATTACAACCGCATTGTGAGTTAACCACCATTGGATCAGATTGCTACTGTTATGATACCACCAATATGATTTTACTACCCTGACGTTGCTTCACAACAGAACTTCACAAACTGACGTAAGGATCATCAAATAATGCATTACCACTTTTTCTTTAAAGTGTGTAGGTGTCTTTTCTCATCAGGCACTTATTATTAAGTTTTTTAGCAATGCGTGTTACACTTGTATATGGAAAAAACGCTCTTTTTACTTAACTTCCATTGTTATAGACAACAAACACTACAATACCGGCCTTTAACAAAACTGAACAATGTATTTTTCCCTAATGCTTTTTCTCTCTCAGATACTGAAATATTGCATCAACTGAATCTATCTATGGGAATGGTGAAAAAAGCACGTTAAACGACTATCATCACAGCACCAAAGGAAACAAATAAAACGAAAGAATCCCATAAATGAATGCCAATATGACTCGATGAACGATTAAAACATGAAAATAAACCATACATAAAATTTGGATTCCATACATGTACGGTGTCACCACAACTTGTAGCATTGACATTCTACGTATTTTTCCCACAGGCCGGACAAGGAAAGGCTATCACATTGGTATTTCGTGCGTTTTCCGTGGAGAAGGGTAGCGAATGTGAATATGACAGTCTGGAGGTGAAAGTCTATGGACCCGGTCTAGCTGGACCAAAGTATGTTGATCGCTGTCCGTAAAACGTTCCTTTTATAGACGGTATAATTAGTCAACTTTCCGTCCTTTCTGTTTTGATCAATACAACATATCTCCTTTTAAGTATTGCTTTTCTTATTATTTGAATAATAATGTTTTTGCTGGGGTTGATGTTATTGTTGTTGGTATTAATGATAATATTGTTGTTTGTGTTAATTACATTGTTATTGGTGTTAATGTTATTGTTGTTAGTGTTAATGTTATTGTTGTTAATGTTATTGTTGTTGGTGTTAATGTTATTGGTGTTAATGTTATTGGTGTTAATGTTATTGTTGTTGGTGTTAATGTTGTTGGTGGTAATAATATTGTTGTTTGTGTTAATTATATTGTTATTGGTGTTAATGTTATTGTTGTTAGTGTTAATGTTGTTGGTGGTAATAATATTGTTGTTTGTGTTAATTCTATTGTTATTGGTGTTAATGTTGTTGGTGTTAATTATATTGTTGTTGGTGTTAATTATATTGTTATTGGTGTTAATGTTATTGGTGTTAGTGTTAATGTTGTTGGTGGTAATAATATTGTTGTTTGTGTTAATTATATTGTTATTGGTGTTAATGTTATTGGTGTTAATGTTATTGTTGTTGGTGTTAATGTTATTGGTGTTAATGTTATTGGTGTTAATGCTATTGTTGTTAATGTTATTGTTGTTGGTGTTAATGTTATTGGTGTTAATGTTATTGTTGTTAATGTTATTGTTGTTGGTGTTAATGTTATTGGTGTTAATGTTATTGGTGTTAGTGTTAATGTTATTGGTGTTAATGTTATTGGTGTTAATGTTATTGTTGTTGGTGTTAATGTTATTGGTGTTAATGTTATTGGTGTTAATGTTATTGTTGTTGGTGTTAATGTTGTTGGTGTTAATGTTGTTGGTGTTAATGTTATTGTTGTTGGTGTTAATGTTGTTGGTGTTAATGTTGTTAATGTTAATGATATTGTTGTTGGTGTTAATGTTGTTTACAAATTTAAAAAGAAAACTGGATTCAAGAAAAGCTACGATACGGTAGCCATGTTCCTCGTTCAACTCCAATAATTTATTTTAGTTTTCAAGTAGAGAAAGACTTCAATAGCCTACGTTTATTGTCTATGTAGATATAGTATGGTGATTGGCGTGATTTGTAGATTGTGTGGAGAACACCAACAGCCGGAACCGATCGTCTATCAGGGATCCAACCTTGTAATCCGGTTTACATCTGACGAAAGCTACAATGTGTCTGGTTTTAGTATTGATTATCATATACAATAAACTAAATGGTTGTTTGATGATTGAACATGTACTATATATCTTCATGCATATGTTGTACATGAATGTACATAACCCAGTAACCTCAACTACAACATGTAAACATTACCAACTACAATTACATAGTCCAAGTAATCAAATCTGGAACATTTCGGAAAGAATGAAAAGAAAGAAATTCAGAGAGGAGCTTGTCTCAGTAAATGTAATAAAGTTATCATCAAGTTAACACGTGTGTCTGTGGTTATTTTGATCATTAAGGAACATATCTTAATGATCCAGAAACTTGTTAAAAATTTCGTTGTAAAGTATTTTGGAGCATATTTTGTGAAACACAATAAAAAAGCCAAGATAAGATAAACTGGGGTTGAAATCGTAAAAATGACTGATTTCTAGTTGACAACATTTTCTTCAGTTAGGTGGACAGATATTAAAGCAGACTGCTGATGTTCCTTTGGAAGGGAACTGTGTCCTTTACCTGGCCAACTGGTTCATGTTCCATTTGAGGCTGAATTTGTTGCAGAGCTCATCGGGAATAGTAACTTGTACATTACCAAATCCTTCAATTTTAATTTACTGTTTCGACAATGTACTGTCTTTACATTGACTACGTTTATACTTGTCGTATAATATTATGTAAATACCCTCCTTAAACGTGAAATCAAGGATGCTACACGCTCCTCTTCATCAGCCACTTCAACCTCTACTTTCATGACCAACAGGAACGGTTTATTATTAATCTGTCCGAAAAGTTTGACGATTTCGATTATACGATGTCAACTTTCCTCTTCTTGACAGCAACACCCTTTATTCCCAAATTTACATGCCGCATTTGATTCGGTAGTCAAGAGCTTGCTCCTAATATCATAACTTCCGTGAAGAAGATGTCGACTGCTGGCGGCAAACTTACAACAGAGTGCTTCGAGGGATGGAGGTAGATGCAGACTTTGGGCAAATTTGATCGTCGCCATCATGACCTTATACGGATATACTATATTACCTGCTATGATAATGTCGGATTTTTGTCACATCCTCAATGTTGTATGAAGTCTCAATGCTACTTTACATGTAGGTCATCAGGAATAGTTTTTCGAAGAGTCAGTTTGAGTCGACAATCGGTAGCCGCATTTAGTCTAACCATCATCATCTTTCATGCTGTTTATGTGACTCATTCAATTAACTCATTCACCCCTGAAGACGCATTTGAACTCTTCCAATTCAAGGGTTGGAATAGTTCATTATAAAATGTCAGGGGTGAATGAGTTAACAGATATACACAGTGAATCAAGGTAAACAAAACTACCAACCCTTAGACTCGAAAGAAGCGGTCCTTTACCGCAGGAAAGAATCGTACGCCTCTGGTAACGTTAACCTTACTGCTCGTCGGGATGAGAACTTGGAAGAGATATAGCTCTGAAAATCTTCGGGAACTCTTCTTTAGTAGGAAAAAAATATTTTTACTGTGTATATAACAAATAAAACAAAATATAAGGTAAAAAGAGACTATTTATTGAAAATTTGTTTTACACAACAAATACGCAACCTTACAATAGCGTGGAAACTTTAGACAAAATAGTCAACAATACAGTACGTCTTGCTTATAAAATATACAATAATCAGGTTTCCATTACAGTGAACAAGTACATGTATGCTGTTGGTGCTGAACAATAAATTAACGGTGTACAGTTAATATAGCAACATCAATATAGGCCAATGCTTGTCTCTGGAGTATGTATAGCTAGGTAAGTCGAACAATATATCAATTGGACCTTTCTGATTAAATAATTGTTGACATGACCAATGAAATGTATTAAATGTTAAAGTGACTGTTTAATGAAAAAAATACTGGGCAAAACACGAGTGTTAGCCATAGAAATACTGGCCTCTGAAGTATGTACAATCAACGACATAATCTAGATCAAATAATGCAATATGTAAATACAGTAAAAAGCTACCGGAATAATACAAATTCCACTTGATTTATTTCACCCTAGCAACAAATGTTTTGTTTTCATCTTCCTTTCACAATACACATCTTATTTTCAACATTTGCTAAACTCCATAACAAAAATGAATGAACTTACCCAATACAATATCGAAATTAAGAAAAAAAAATCTAAGCAAAATACGTCGCTGTATTTTCTAGAGAATTATAACTTCGTTTTGGTCCCAAGGTCCAAGTTTCAATCAATAGAATGCAGACCATGCTAAATTTAAAGTAATCACTCGGATTACTTGCATGGTTGGAAGGTTTTACAAAGAACTAAAATCACTAATAGATCCTTTTCTGGTGCCCTGGTCGTATTTGTGTCACCTCTATTTCCTAGCAATCTAACATATTGTATACTTATATCAATATTTATAATAATAATAATAATCTGAGGTCTTTATATACCACTTTATCACAACCTAGTGCATAGGTCGTCTCAAAGCGGTTCACAAATCAATATCCTTAGTTATAAGGCCTTTGCAACCAGCCATTATAATTATCTTTCTCAACTCCCTGGGGAGCATACAGCCGGTGCTGCCATTTCGGCGCTCACAGCTAGCTTTCAACAATTCCAGCACTGCCCAACCATGTACTCATTTACAGCTAGACTGGAACAAGTGGTGTAAAGTATCTTGTTAAAATTAAAGATACAACACAGTGCCGTGACATGACTTGATCTACAACCCTTCGGTCACGAGCCCGGCGTCCTACCACTAGACTACCGTGCCTCCATTTATGCTTTTTTAAAACTAAAAACGAAACAGAAAAATATTCTTGGATGAAATGAAAGTTATCTGATAACAATGGCAAGAACAGATAATAAAAAAGCATGCACCTCAAAATTTACTATGAAGCACCTCTAATAGTATAGCACATTCCTGTGTAAACCTGGGTTCAACACAAGTACTTGATAACTATGTAAAATTAACATCTACCTACAATTGTACTTAACTTTCGCTTACAATAGAAACGAAATACCTACATACATGTACACCATCATCTGAACATCTTTTTACAGTACGTGTCAGACTAACACCCGCTTACAACATCCTCTCAACGCCTGTATACACAACCAATTGAGCATCGGTCCGCTTAAAGTATGCTTGCAATATCCATTTGTTGTAAGCTCAATATCTAATATCATAACCCTTTAAAATTCAACATTAAATGCTGTCATGGGTGGCCACAAGTAGCATATATATAAGCCTATTCCAATACAAATGCTGACAATCCACCTTGTAACGAAATATAATTTTTAACTTGAAAATGAGCAAACGGACAATAGTCACAAAAGACATGAGATAATTCAAATGAGTTACACAGTGAATCCTCGTTATTGTGGAATTATGAACGGGTCAGGCGAAATATGTAGTCAAGATTACCCCGAAACACTATGGCGGTAAGTGAGTACTGTATCAGGGTTTTACTGATCGAGATACAAAGTCGGGTAATAAAACCAAGCATGCATTATACAGCGTAAAATTTGAATTGACTGGATTGTGATACTGAAATTCTACTGTAAAGCACCAACCTGGGTTCAGTACCAGTACCTTAATTATAATGTCCAATTAACATCTACTGACAATATCTACTTAAATTTCGTTGAAACTCAGTATTACAGTCATTAGTAATGTACCAGTAATACTATTAGCATAAGGGTATATTTGATGTGTTCAGCACCAGTGAGAACAACAGCAATTCCAATAAAAAATTGTTGATTATAAATCTTATAATGAAGTAGTATTTTCAACTTGAAAAAGAGCAAACAGACAACAATAATATACCCTATATGAAATACACGGTAAATCTTCCTTATATTGCCACCAACTTTCCAGCAAAATTTTGGAGTAATAAATAGGTGTAACGATATAAGAGGTAAGATGTTATAATAAAACAAGAGGCCCATGGGGCTAATTAACAGTCACCTGAGTTCTGATATTTATACAGAGAGTTGATTATTGTTTTTAAAACATGAACAGAAATATTATTGAAAGTGACAAAAAACATTAAAACCACCTTATTCAATAGCTAGCATACAGATTTAAGACAGAAAAGTATTTGAAACTAGCACCTCTGATTCTAAACAAGGAAAATGATTTTGTTTAGCACAGAGACACCTTTGGGCCCTGCCCTACAGCCCTTGTGGGTAGGGCTTGCTCAAAATTTTCAAAGTATCAAACTGTCAACTCAAGGTTATAATTACAATCAAGTTATCAACATGTAATATTCAAAGTATCATTTCCCATTATAAACCATAATAAATGTTGCCCCCCCCCCTTCCCCAGGGGTAAACGTGAGACCCTAGGGTCATAAAATTCATAATTTTGGTAGAGCATGTTAAAACCCTTCCATCTATGAAGAGTATTGGATTCTACCATATCTGGGTCTTGAGAAGAAGATTTTGAAATTTCAGTCAATGCGACCCTTTTTTGGCCCCACCCCTCAGGCCCCTGGGTGGTCAGTCAGGGCTGATATGTGCATAAAATCAAACTGCTATCCAATACTAATAATACTAACCCAAATTGAATTACTTCCAATGGAAATTAAACAAATGTTGGTCCAAAATGTGATTTCCCTATATAGACTATAGTAAAGTTTATCCCCTCCCCAGGGGGAAACGTGAGACCCCAGGGTCATGAAATTCACAATTTTGGTAAAGCACCTTAAGACCCTTCCATCTATGAAGAGTATTTGATTCTACCATATCTGGATCTTGAGAAGAAGGTTTTTGAATTTTTTGTCAATTTGACCCTTTTTGGCCATGCCCCTCAGGCCCCTGGGGGCTGGGGACCATATAATTCCCAATTCTGATTGACCTTTGGCCATGTAAGGTTTCTGAAAAATTTCATTGAAATTGGTTTGGGGGTTTTGGAGAAGAAGTCTAAAATGTAAATTGTTTACGGACGGACGATGACGGACAAAAGGCGATCGCAATAGGTCACTCGAAACTTTGTCTAAGGTGACCTATAAATGTACCCTGGAATATATTGGTGGTAAGTAATGTATCAAATGTACCGAGGGTCTTTATACTGTATCAAGGTTTTACAGAGATATTTGTAATAAAACAAAGTAAGCACTATGCAGTGTAAAAGTTACACTGACTGGAATGCTCAACTGAATCTACTGTGAAGCACATGCAATGCTATCTCGTGTTATATAGATATAAATCTGCGTTGATAGCAATTACAATGCTCAATCAACATCTACCGGCATCATCTACTTCACTGCTGATTAAAATGTCAGTATTACCGCAATCAGTTATGTATACGTAATAATATTAGTGTACACAATATATGTTTCAAGTGTCCAGCAGTGATAACAATGGCTTACAATGTCCATTAAATATTATATTTTAACTTCTGAAGGAACGCTTACCATTTTTCCTTACTGTACACTAAATGTCATACCATCAATATTTTAAACCATACAAACTGACTTGAGTGGTCACAATTAGTATACATAAATATAATGTATAAAAGCACATAAATATAATATATAATAGCACATAAGTATAATGTATAATAACACATAAATATAATGTATAATAGCACATAAATATAATGTATAATAACACATAAATATAATGTATAAATGCATGTTCTGATCAAAAGAGTGTTTATTATCAAACTTTCCCCGATGTGTTGGAGGGGTCCACTGATTATACAAAATTGGTTCCCTTTTACCCAAGGATGCTCCACACTAAATTTGGACCAAATCCTTTCATTCCTACAGAAGAAGAAGGATTCTAAAGAATAATTTGCTATGTTTCCCCTAGCTACTGGGCTCTGCCCCTCAGGCCCCTGTGAGGCCAGACCCACGGTTTATATAAAATTGGTTCCCCTTCACCCAAGGATGATTCAGACCAAATATGAAACAAATCCTTTCATTCCTACAGAAGAAGGATATTAAATAATTTGCTATGTTTCCCTTATTGGGCCCCACCCCTCAGCCCCCAGGGGTGCCAGACCAACCAATTTTGTTCCCCTTCCCCCAAAGATGCTTCTGACCAAATTTGGTCAAAATCTACTGGGCCATTCAGGACAAGTGGCGTTTTAAAGGAAAGGTTGACGGACGGACGGACGACGGACGCTGCGCCATAGCATAAGCTCACTTGCCAAAAATGACGAATGGATGTCAATTCTTAATCTTATTTGGCACTTTGATGCATGTGAGCTAAAAACCGTAATCAGTGTACTCAAAACTCTCACAAATATCCATGAACACAACTGTACATGTATGACTACCACACTACTGTTGAGTTTTGATCCTCAAAACAGCCGAGATTTTTGGATTGCTAATTTGTTCAGTGTTTTAGATTATAGTTTATAAGCTGCACACAAATGGAACATTATGACACTTCACATGGTCCTATTAATCTGATAAGAAACGCCTATGACTAAAAAGTTCCCAAGAAAACCCTTACTATAAAGAGTAGGTTTAACAGGTAGTCGGAAACAATAGAGGGTCCAAGAGTTACAATGGGAACATCAGATAAATTTGGTAAAACTAGCTTCAGGCCAAAACTTGCAGGGAATGACAACCACATACAAATAATCTGGATAAACTTATGAATAGATAATTTGAAAATAATACAACGTATTAATAAATACACTGAATCTGGTTACCTTCCAGTAGTCTTTACAAACATGGCATTCAAAACCAGCAGGATTTATTTTACTCTGTAATATGTGCAGTGATTCTATACATGGTCACATATTTTTGTACCAATGTTGTAATTTCATTTTGAGTGTGACTGTTTATATAAAAGTTTGTTTTAGTATGAAAATGTGGACTTTAGTTTGAAATGTGTACTAAATGACAAAAGTGTGGTGTTATGTGGAAAATGAACACAACACATACCATTTGGATTTATTTTAACATCAGAAGGGCGGAGTACAGGAAAGGGGAATTGTGCATGTGCATTATTGATGGAAAATTTGAAAATATCATCTCAGAAGTTTGATTTGATCAAATGAAGACTACAATACAGAATGAATAATTGTCCAAATTAAATGCTGGAATTAAATGTATAATTTATATATATCACATGCTATAAACTGCATATACATTTAATTGAAAATTTGTCACTGATAAAGATAATATACTAATATCACATGTGTAACCCTGGTTGAACATATGTAATTATTTGAAACTGTTAAACATGGAAGAGGAATCCTTCTGGGTCCTTATATCTGCCTTCTACCAGTGATGTATATAGACCAACATGGTGGAACAGATTTGGCTCTATCTGGTAACATGGAATATTGTGTTTTAAGGTGAACTTATAGATGGCTATGTCTGTGTGATCCATGCCTGGCCTAGCATAGTCTTGTAGAAAGTTTACCAAGGAGGGTAGGATGTGATCACTGTATAGCATAGCTTGTGTACAACAACCAGGAGATTTCTTAAAGGAATACAAAGAGGGAGAAAACCTCCTTAGTTCCATTATATTTTGTCTATCTAAAAGTTCTGCAATCAATATAAAATAAATACAACCAGCTAAAAAATATAATATCTGTATAGAAAATGGTGATGATTTTTTTCTGTCATCTAAAAGACAAATCAAGAAAAACACAAAAATACCTGCTCCCATACAACCAATACTCAGCAATTCTATTATCCTAGTTTCTTCAAAAGCAAATCCTTGCCACTTCTGAGGGTAGTAGAGTTTGATGTACCCAAACTCCCGACTGTTATGGTGAAGTTTTGTGTCCATTACGTGTTTGACGTTACTAAGCACCTCTCTGTGTGGAATGGCGTCATCCTCCATCATTAAAATATAGCTGGAGTTCATGTGGTAGGCACTCTCCAAACAGAACATGTAATCTACAGTTTCCTTCTCATATCTATTTCTGTGTAGATGTTTATCATACAGTGCTGCTCTCAGTGGAGTCGTAGACCTCGACAAATCCCTTCCACTTGGGCCGTATCTTTGTATGGTTGGAATAAACGTAGATAGAAATGTAACATCAGTGTGGTTTATTGGCTTTGCATCAACATTACAAATTACTAGCTTCTTTTTCCTAAAACTTTGATTATGCTTTAGCAATTTGTCCATTGCTGCTGTTGCTTGAAGGAAATAGCCCAACTTCTGTAGGTCAGCTGATTTCCTCTGAACTGTTACTATGACTACAAGTAAATCAAGTCTCTCCTGGTTGTGTTGGTTGTAGAACTGCCTTGACTCTGTTTTATCAATGCTGTTAAAATAAGCATTGGCATCGGCAAGTCGTTCCTTGTTTAAATCCTTGGCATTGATCAACATTTCCTTTTCTGAATGGAAGACCTTGAACAGTTTTGAATATGGTAAAAAATAACACAGAATAGGTACGATAAAAGTAAAAGTTATTAGGTACAGTATGAGTAATCTCCTGAAGTGATAAAAACTGGAGCTTGCCATTTTTTACCAAGGAGTTTTACATACAACCAAACACTATGTATGCGACCAGGGCTTTTGAAGGACTGCATTCAAGGAGAATACCAGCAGTTGTAATTCCATTCCGACTCCAATGCAAATCTGAAATGACAAATATGTTTATCTAATGAAATTAACATTAATGTATATATATACACTATATGTACAATGTATGCCAAAGCATGATTTAACCAAAACCATTAAATAATTATAAATAATAATAATTTTAAGTATTGGGATTTGACATGCAAGATCTAAACATTTTACCAATTGAACTGAAGTTGTATTCGCAAGTCAGCTTGTCATTTGGCAGTTGGTACATGTCAAAATTCCTTCATTTTACATAAAACTCAAAATTACCAGATTTATAAATTACCAAACAGAGGACTTTTAAACCTACATCCACATTTCATATGCCAGTATTTATCTACCCTCCAATTTAAAAACTAAATAATACTCTTTGTGTGATACTTTTCTATCTTCTGACTTTTGTATCAGATTGTCTTCACTGCTACAGTACTTCTGGCCTGAAGCATTTTGACAGGTACCATGTACATGTATAGCAGAACTGGACTGGGTAATTTGCCGATGATCAGGTTAGTTCTACTGGTAGATCAACCATCTACATTGAAGTGTTTGGAGTGTCCTGAGGGCCAACTCTTGTTGTAAGTGTTAATGGTTGTACACTTTGCAAGCTTAAGGCAAACCCAAACATTGGCTGTAAATGATAGTGTTGTCTTTTTGGGTGAAGGCTTAGAAAAAGGAGGAAGAAATGTAGCTGAACTAGACTGGGTTGTTTGCCGACGACCAGGTTAAGCTCAATTGGTAGAGTGTTTGTCAAAGTAGAGCTTGTAGGTCCAAGGTTTAAATCCCTGTCTGTCCGTGCGTTTCCTTCACCTCCTGTTACACATACAATGTATGGGTAACGGGTTGTTTTCGCCCGAAATTCATTATTTTAATTTATACGCTAATATAACAATCAATATTTAAATATATCAACTAAACTTATTGATAACTTTCTATATTTGTGATAGAAAAGTACACAACTGTGTGAGTGCGGGGTCAGCTTTTCACAGCTGCCGTTTGCAATTGTCACATTCACTTAAAAACAACACACTTTTGGAGACTAAGAAGACTTAATTTGTGACTTAAAAAGTGCTACTAAAATTGAAAGAAAATCCCAAACAATGTCCCGCCCTAAAATGTTTGTTTTAGGGCGAAACAAACGTTAACTAGCGCGAAACAACCTAGCTATATATGTATATAAGGCGAACGGGATTTTGGGCGGGATATGATGTTGTCAAAGTCAAAACCCAACTATGCTTCACTTTAGTCGATTGTTTCGACTTGCATTGGGACACAGTAGACCTGTTCTTTCTCCTGACCTAAAGTATCAAGATGAAACTGCTTAGTGTCAAGTCAGTAGAGCTGCGTTTGTGTTACGTAAAACAGTCACAGATGCCTGTGATCTGGTGATGTCAAGTGGTCATCTGGCCTACAGTAACATTACATGTTATAACTTATATCTGACATAAAGTAACATTCATCAAAATGCGATTTTTCATCACTTATTAAAAGCCGTAAGAACGTGATATGTTGTCGATGTATAACCAGTTGCTAGCCAATATAACAAATATCACACGATCGATTGCTTACCCATCTCCCAGTCTCCGCAGCCGAAAATGAAAGTAGAATGAATCAGTATATAGTTGACGCTTAAACATATGGTATACCAGAAATATAGGTTACAAGCTTTTGCAAGATCACGATGAATTTCTAAGCTCCGAATCAACAACGGACATTCATTAATGAGTCAGTGATATGTAAGTTACAGTGAACAGGTGACGGAGATAGAGGTTGGTAAAACAGTACCAGAACCAATACCATTAGTCCATGTTAGAGATAAACAAATAAACATACATTGTAACTACATCAGTGGCAAATTTTAATTGTTCATGAGATTAATTGCTCTTTGGGCTAGAGGGAATTTTCCTTTGGCTTAACAGCTCAATTATTGATATAGAACGAATATTCATACGAAACCGTCCGTCCGTCGTCCAGAGCTACGTTATCGCAGCTAGTATTGATAGAGCTCCGGACTGTGAAGTTGGGGGTCGCTGATCAGGTTGGATCCCCAGTGGAAGCACATGTACAGTATACACTAATCTTTTTCCTGTTACACATCTGATATACATGTATCTTGTGTAAAACTGTACCATATACATGCATGGTTTTTGATATTTTGCTTTCACTTTTAGCAGATTATTTTACCCGGTCAGCAGACCAAAACACATCTTTCGCTGTATCTTCCGCTGTAATATATATACATCGGTGTAAGCTTTTTAGTTTTGGAGATGTCTTGATTCTATTTCATTTACTTATTGATAATGTTCATCTGGTTGCGCATAAAATGATAAAAGTCCATTATTTATAGATCATGTTGCTCACACATTATAGAATTGACTAAACATGTATCAGCCTCGATCCTTATTTTTGTGCTTACATTTGTCGACTTAAAAGTGCAATTGGATTTTTTCTTAAGTTATTCTTTTATTTTTCATCCTGATAGGAAACCATAATAAGATTTTATCTGCTTAAAAGATTCATGCAATATGCTGTCTAAAAAAGGTAAGAGATACCACAATATATACATCATTTATTGTATCATGCATGTAGTATCTCAAGGCAGATACCTAAGGACTATAACTTGTATAATAAGGATAGATAAATATAGCATACATGTATGATCCCTCCTTAGAAACTTCTAATGCAGGCCATTGTAAATAGATGCATATATGGTTTTTGATATTTTTTCTTAATATCTAATTGATAATAGATAGCTGTTCTATTCCATATTGTAATGAATTTTCTTCAGCAGTTAGACAATGCCAATTTTCAAAACTGAAATTATTTTCTGTCTTCTTTTTTGCAGAGGTATTGATACAGTTAGATAGATGATGCTGGAATGACAGCAGGATGCCACAGATTACAAACATAGAAGATGCTACAACCTTGATTAACTGATTTATCTGAACCTGAATATAAACACACTGCAAAACAAATTAATAGGCTTCAAAATGGCCTTCACCTTTTGGAATTCATTGTGTGGCCACAATGAAAACTTTACAGCTTGGAGAAAAGACGATTTTGGTCCGTGTTTTGAAAAAATAGCCCTGATCATACCAGCTCATGTACTTCTTGCTATAGTGAGTACATATCATGGAGCACAAGTACATCGGAGAGTCTCCAGCACCAACGCCACATTGAGGATGCCCTGGTTTATCACTTTGAGACTGGTGACTATTTCATTATTCTTGATATTACCAGTAGCTCAGCTGATGGGAATGTTCATGATCCTAGAGGTGGAACCAAGTATAGCAGACTGTGTATATGTGGGTTTAGTGAGTCTCACTTGGTTACTGCATGGCATTTACACTTACAACCTGAAACATATGTACTGGGAAACATACAGAGGCCCTCTTTGTGTGGTACTTTTCTATCTTCTGACTTTTGTATCAGATTGTCTTCACTGCTACAGTGTTATCAGAATGCATTTATCTAACTCTCCATTCCATAATTCAGCTGAGGAATACTGTGTTTATGTAACTATCTTTTGTCATCTGTTATACATCTTCACCCTCAAACCGACTGGAGATAGGCTCATGAGTGACAGTTATCTTCGCCATAGTTTGAATATATCTCCTTCTGAAACAGAGCGCCTAATGTTCCCTGGAACGACTGGCTATGGGTCTATCACCAGTCCTCAAAGAACAGTAACTGTTGCAGAGGATGGATCATCATTCCTGTCAAAACTTACATTCCACTGGGTACAACCCCTGATGGTTAAAGGGTACAAACAATTAATAAGGTCTGCATCTGATCTTTATCTACTGCCTAATAAGCTCAACACTAAAGACTTAGAGGACAAGTTTTTGAAAATTCTTTCACCATCTAGGCAAGGGACATCACTTTATGATAACGAGGAAAGCAGTCAAGGCACCCCATTAACACCAGATGTCTATATCAGGTCAGGAGGACAAAACACTGGACACACGCACCAGCAAACTCCAACCATGTTGAGAGCTTTACATAAAGCATTTGGATTAGAATACTACCTTCTTGGTATTTTAAAACTGATGGCAGACTCTGTTGGTTTTGCGGGGCCAATGCTACTAAACTTACTAGTGACATATATAGAGAACAAAGAGGAGCCAGAACAACATGGATACTTGTATGCAAGTGGGTTACTGTTGTCCACACTCATTGGTTCTCTATGCTCTAGTCAGTTTGATTACCATTGTCGAAATGTTGGATTCAAAATGAGATGTGCAATCATCACAACCATCTACCGGAAAGCTTTGTCTGTGGGCAGTGTATCCATCTCAAAATTTAGCATGGGTGAAATTGTTAACTTCATGAGTACAGACACAGACAGAATGGTAAATTTCTGTCCCAGTTTCCATGCTGTGTGGAGTTTACCTTTCCAGATTGGAGTATCTTTGTATCTCCTCTACTTACAAGTGGGGATAGCTTTCCTTGCCGGGCTAGGGTTTGCTCTCCTCCTCATCCCCATTAACCGGTGGCTTGCTAACAAGATAGGAGAACTGAGCAAGGATATGATGAAACAGAAAGATGCCAGGGTTAAGGTAAGTCTGTGTCAGCATTTGCCTTTGAAAACCCTAGATATCTCGTGGTACATATAATTAACTTATGTTTGACATAACTTTTACCGTTCAAAAGTTGAAATGCATTATCCACAACTTTGTCAGTGCATGAATAAATTAATTCATCAGGATGTAGAAAGCTGTTCAGCCAGTTCAGCATATTACATTGTACCTGAAGTGCATCATTGAATTTAAAATGATGATGATCTTAAAAAGAGTACTCTTTGTGTTGGACACAATTTATCCAGAAAACATTAAGTATTTAAAAATAAATTTTGAATATAACCAGATGTAAACAATACAAAGCAACTGATAAATTTATTCCATGTACAGATGATGAATGAAGTATTGTTTGGGATGAGAATTATAAAGTTCTACACCTGGGAAAATCATTTCCGCTCAGAGATTCAGAGGCTGAGAAATGCTGAGCTGAAGAGTCTGAAGGGACGGAAGTACCTGGATGCAATGTGTGTGTACTTCTGGGCTACCACACCGGTTCTCATTTCTATACTCACCTTTACAACCTACTCACTGATGGGGAATACCCTAACAGCAGCCAGGGTAGGTTACCAACATGTATACTTCATTAGAGTTTTAAGTTCAAACAGAGCATTGGTGTCACATACTGTATAGGACTCAATGGAGTCTGATTGCAGGATTTAACTTCAAATCATATGGATTCTATTGTATGACACTATTGTACAAGGGTGTAGTTCAGTATCATGTAGAGATTACCAAGATATAGCTTGGTATTAAAAAGAGCTCATTTGAGATGATTTGAGAAGTTTTGCCTACAGAGTTAATTGGAACTTGAAATCAATATATACAATGTATCAGGGTAGTTATGGCTTAACAGAATAGGTGTAAAAATCTCACTTAAATTTACATAAATAATATTTGCATTTGATTCTGTTTGACCTGACAGGTGTTTACAAGTTTGTCCCTGTTCATGATGCTGATCAGCCCCCTGAATGCCTTCCCCTGGGTGATCAATGGTCTGATGGAGGCCTGGGTGTCCCTCAAACGTGTCCAGGCATATGTGGCCCTTACTGACATGGACATGAGGTCCTACTACAAAACATCAGAGGGTACTGCACAGTGTTTGTTATCTACAGTTGAATTATTATACTATCATGGAGATGGTGTCGTGATATAGGCTGGTCTATTTAATGTCTAGTATTTGTTATGATCAATTAAAAGTTAGATTCATTTTCTATCAACACAAAACTGTTTGAAAAATAAAACATCTTTAAATATAAAAAAAATCAGGTATAACTTCTTTACCAGCGAATAAAAAAAAAGCTGTTATTGTTTGTTTTCAGATTTATACAGTGCTGAAAGGATCATATCCATCAAGTCAGGCAGATTTTCTTGGAAAAATGAACTGTGTGCCACCTCTGATGCTCATGTAGCTAAAAGACAGGATAACCAATCAGTACATGGCACTGGAACCAGCCAATCGGCTCATGGTACTGGAACCACCCAATCAGCTCATGGCAATGAGACCAACCATTCAGAACATGACAAATCAACCAGGCAATCAGGACATGACCCTGCGACTAGCCAATCAGGGACCCTCAAACTTAGAAACATTAACATTGATATAGAACAAGTGAGTAGAGAAAACCACTATTGTTTGTAGATTAACTTTTTTATGGAGGTAAAGTTGTATCAAATGAATGTATGTAGCTCCTTATTCTGCTTTCTGGACATTTTCAGAGATTCTGTATTCTGTGACATTCCAGAAAAAAGTAAATACTTAAACTATTATCTACAACTTACATGGTACATGTATGTGTATACATGTAAATCTTTGTTAATATGATTCACTTATATAAAGTGTATACTCTTTCTTGTGGTTTTACATCTCTATCCTTATTTCCATATATTCATATTAATAATGATTGACACAGATTCTTGCAAAATAATAACGGATAGTTTATAAAATAATTTTCAGCATTTCCTTTTTGTTAATTAGCCACTTTGTTTTTAGAAAATTCAATTCCTCCTAAAATGTAATTAGTTTTTAATGTGTCACTGGTACAGGTTTATGACTATGGTATACATTTTCTATTTATAAGGGTCAATTCATAGGAGTGATAGGGAAGGTTGGGTCTGGGAAGAGCTCCCTGCTTCAGGCCCTTATGGCGGAGATGTGTCGTGAGGCGGGTCAGATTTCGTTACGAGACCTTCACAGCGGATTTGCCCTAGTGGCTCAGGAGGCATGGATACAACACGCCACAATCCGTGACAATATCCTGTTCGGTCAACCGTTCAACACTAGGAAGTACGAGTCTGTGCTGGAGGCGGCAGCTCTCAATATGGACCTCCAGGTATGTCTCATACTTTTGACTATCAAAAATAAAACAACCTTATGCTTGCTACATTCAAAACCATTTTTAATCCATATTTATTTCTGCTTTCTGTTGTTTGTTAATTTGTAGGGTACTCTTCTTCTTTTTTTAACAACGTAAATTCTCAAACTGAGAGTTGATTGTTGAAATGTTTTTAGATAATCATTCAAACCATTAACATGACTTGAACCTTTGATGTACAGAGCTTTACACACTGGTGTCATTATATGGTCAATGCTCAATTGTCTTTAACATACAATTTTGATGTAATAATACCGTATCTGAAATGGTGCCTATTATAGAGATTTGGCAGCTCCCTTTTATACAATTTCAAAATTCAAAATTACATCAAAAAATGTCTTGAATTTTTCTTACAGATGTTACCAGCTGGAGACAAGACAGAAGTTGGTGAGAATGGCGTGACCCTGAGTGGAGGTCAAAAGGCCAGAGTGTCCTTGGCCAGGGCCCTGTATCAGGTATTTAGAGGAATTCAGGCTCTTATATATGTTTTTTTTGGGGGGGTTTTGATATTGGAATCTTAATTGATTTTCTTTTAATAGCAAGACTTTCATTCTGTGACAGGATGATCATGTACACCGTTACAATAATTAGTGTTTGACATTGTCTCCGTTTATGTGGACTGCACTGTGTTGATGGAATGCAGGTGTATAGAGCTAGAAGCAGGATTTGAATCTCAGGGTCATGCAAGGACTTCATAGACCATATATTTAACTGGCATCAAATTGTATTTGGCTTAATTATGTCTCCTTGTTATGTAGACCATATGTACAAACATTTGTTTGTTTATTGTTCGTAGGATAAGGAAGTGTATCTATTGGACGATCCTCTAGCAGCAGTTGACGCCCATGTAGCCCAACATTTGTATGACAGGTGCATTATGGGACTGCTCAGGAACAAGACCAGAATCCTTTGCACACATCACACCAAATTTCTGGGAAAGGCAGATCTAGTCATTGTCATGGATGATGGTGTCATCTCTAACATTGGTGAGGCATTCTAGTAGAGGGATTATTATCATTGTTCACCTACACCATTGCTGTATTTTTCGCTTTTGGAGATAGAGATTAACGTTCTAATAGAATCCATCCCTGATGTGAGGTATGGATAAGGTGATTCAAACCCAAGGGATAAAATATTGAGCCGGAGAGCCGAGGCTTTGCCGAAGGTCTTCTGCTCAATATTTTATCCCGAGAATTTAAATTACCTTATCCATACATTGCATCAGGGATGGATTTTATTTCTTGCCTATTACCTAAAATCAGTAAAAACAGCTGCTCTTCTAGTAAAGTTGTAAACTGTCTACACATTTCTCATTTGCATATGAAGTCCGGATGGCATTTGTAAATGACGTCAATGACCCTGACTGACCCCAAAATGTCATAAAATGACGTCACAAACAATAGTGTGTCCCCGAAAGGTCACTATAATTCCCCCGCCAGTGTGCGCGTGTAAGCGATCCAGACCCGTTACTCAATCTCGCAGCAACAGCAGCAGCAGCAAAAGAAAAGAAAATAGTTCAACATATAGAGGCTGTTCCATTATATTTGGCCAGAACAAAACAATAATGTTCAATCTCACTTTTATATCAAACACACATAATCATGAGTATGATAAAAGTTTTCCTGTGTATCAGGTCCCCCTTCGGAGGTTCTGGAAGATACAAAGTTTGCAGACAACCAGGTGTCTGATGAGGACAAAGAGTGGACAGATGGCGGGCCTGAGACTGACCAGTCAGGTGGAGGTCAAGATGGGACCTTGGTAGGCGAGGAGGAGAAGGAGACAGGTGTGGTGAAGTTGTCGGTGTACAAGTCCTACTGGAGAGCTGTGGGTAAATGTCTGGCTCCTTCAGTACTCCTCGCTCTTCTCTTCATGCAAGGTAAGTTTTAAGACCTCAGAGTTGTAGTTTTACAAATCTTTTTAAATTATCCGAAGAGTATCATGATACATTACTTTGGTAGATGTGTAATACAAATCATATGATATTCTATATACAGGCAAATCCTATACATTATGAATCAATCAATCAAAAGGATGGAAGAAAAGATGTTTTTTTTGTAATATCCTTTGCCTGTTAGATTGATGTTTGGCTAGTTCCAGAACTTCTGAAAGACTAAAGATATTTTATCGAAGATTTGTAGAAGAAATGTTTTACTTATAGGCATGCAGGAATGTTACATAACACATGTTGTATTTTTTTGAAGATGTATCTTGTTTATTTGATAATTATTTTTGTAAATGAAAAGATGTAGTTATAGTATATATATAAGCCATTTCAATCAGAGGTCAAGAGTTTTGTTTGTACAGAATGAGTCTTTTGCAAATTTAGACACTCAAAAATCTTCTCCTGAAGCTTAAGTTTTAGATTTTATTTATATCTACATTAAATAATGGTATTTTTGTTCCTTTTGTCGTGACTATTGTTTTGCGAAATCACTGTTGAAATGTAACATCACTGTACGCAAAATGTGACAGTACCCAAACAGGACACTTGTGGGAAAGCGACCCAAGAAACTGTCACGCAATGCAAACAAGTACTTTTATGTATGCAGTTTTCCAATTTAACCGTATTATGTAAGCTTGAATAGTTGCTGATTATCGTTACATAGACAATTTAAAGGTGAGAATATATTACCAAAGCAAAACTTTCCGGATTTACATGCTAGCACGTGCGACGCTATTTACGTATATGGATATAATTTTTAAAAGTTAATTTTATCAAAATTAATGCTAGTTTGGGGATTTTTTTTAAACAAAACCCCCTTCATCGTCGGATACCCACGGTTGATTTCGCTTCGGTACTCACTCATCAGATGAGTGATGAGTGAGTACCGAAGCGAAATCAACCATGGGTATCCGACGATGAACCCCCTTTGACTCTAAAATATTTGAACTATGTATACCTTTTTGATGGCATTTATTTTGTATCCCCAAATATTAACCAAAGTAACGCCGGTTTAAGGGACTACATGACCCTGATAGTTTTTCGTGTTCTTTTTATAGAACCAGGCGTCCAAAATACCAACTTGTAATACAAATAAAAAGTGGATAGTATCTATTTATGAAAAATGAACAAACGTTTTGGAACTGATAGTATGGTCTACAGAACATTGATATTTATTTAAAAAGTGTCCTGATTTGGGTACAATGATGTCATCAGTCATTAGAGTATGATGTGATCAAAACATCCTAATATTATACAGAATTGTTTAGCAATGTCAAAAAAGTGGATATCCCTGTTCATCAGGCAAGAAAATGATCAGTGGCGTATTCTTATCACAGTGCATTTAAAAGCATGTAAAGGCAACACATCTGTTTTGAAGGATAATGAAATCAGACATAAACTACAGGAGAAGAAACTTGGCACTTCTTGATATAGATGTTTATCAAGAGCTGTTGGATGTCCTATTGTGAAGTGGAAACAATGTTCTGTATGTTTTCTTTTCAGCCTCTAGAAACATCAATGATTGGTGGCTGTCTTATTGGGTATCCAATAGCAACAGTACAACAGATAGTAATCCTGGCAACACATCTCAGTCCTCCTTGACTATGGGGTCACAGTTTTTCTTTAGTGGGTATGTTGCTTTGTGTCCAAGGATGATATGTGTTAAGGTAGAGCTATTCCAATGTATAGAAATCTTGAACAAAAATCTTAAATTAATGCTTCTTGTAGTTGTGTTTGTTGATATTAAGAATGTTGGGTTATAAATGACCCTATCAACATCATATTAAGACAAGCATGGGAAATACGACTCAAGGGTAAAAATGCTGGACGATATGGCATGTGTGAAATTTGGTATAAAAATATCCTAGTTTGATGATCTTATTTGATATCAATAAGAACTTTGTATCCCTGGAAACCTCGGAGGTTAATTAAGGAACTTTTTCTACTCCTTTGTTAATTCTTTCAGATATGTCACTTCGGCTGGCTCTGATGTAAGTTTGGATAATAACAGTAGTAATAGTACCAGTGATGGTGAAGACAATGTTAAGTTTTACCTGACGGTCTACGGTTGTCTGGCGGGGGCTAACTCCCTCTTCACATTGGCCCGAGCCTTCCTGTTCGCGTATGGAGGGATATGTGCTGCAAGGATCCTCCACCATGAGTTACTGGAAACAATACTTCAGGTGAGAATAGAAACCCTAGTTGACTTCATTTCAGGGTCAAAGAATTCAACTGATCATGAGTTAAAAACTTTATTCTTTGATAGGAGGACTTAAATTTGGATATTTGTTATGTAGTGAAAGGCTATCAATCTTTTTATAAAATAAATGACCTTGACTTATATATAAGGTCTTAAAGATTCAATGTGTTGGAACCTTTCAATCAATCCATTCTTCTACTTTTTACAGCCATGCCTGTAATATCAACATGTATCAAACTAAACAAACTTACTACCAGGTATTTGTGTATTATGGAGGGTGCTCTGATCACATTACAGGGAGGTAACTCCCACACTGACATTGAAAATTTAAAATATATGTCACATTGTCACATAATTGTTTCAGGCACCTATGTCCTTTTTTGATGTCACTCCTATTGGAAGGATCCTTAACCGTTTCTCCTCAGATCTGTATGCTGTTGACGACTCTCTGCCCTTCATCATGAACATCTTCCTGGCACAGCTGTTTGGTATCCTAGGAACCATAATCATCACCTGTTATGGCCTGCCTTGGTTTGCTCTGCTCCTCGTTCCACTGGGAGCGATATACTACAAAATACAAGTACGAGACATTCTTTGTTATTCCCCTATGAAGTAATATGGTACCAAATAACTCAACTGGGAGCTATATACTGGAATATACAAGTATGAATCATGCTTTATTAATCCCCACTCAACAAAGTTAGTATGGAGGTATAGAAACTCGGTCTGTCCATACATTGTGGATCAACTGCAGCTGGTTTAAGAAGATTTGCTTCATTTGTTACTGTCTTGGAATGTTCTGAAAATATGAATATATAGACTGGACAACTGACCCCTTAGTAAAGTTTTGATTTCCTTGAAACTTGGTATGCATATCATCAGTATCATATCTAATTGTGTATGTATATCAAAGATCAGAGACAAGTTGTCCCTCTTTTTTCAAAGAGCATCAAAATTGTCTGGTTAACTTGTCCACCATTTCTTGAAACATTCAAAGCAGCATTGTCAGCATGAAATAGTTATTACTGCAGGTGTGTTGTGCTTGGTGGGTGTCAACGCTACGGTATACATAGAGGACTGTAATGCACTGAAATACTTACTTGTTCTTTAAAGCCCAAACTTTGGATTTTAGAAGTGTTAGGGGCATTATATTGAGCTTTTGGCTTACAGTTCTACATTGTAATGAACTTTCATTCAGCACCTGAACAGTTCATATCTATGTAAATTGATAATGACTGCAGCCTATTTAACTTCCAAAACTTCCCTATACTATAATAATAACAGATAATTAAAGCGATCAATAAAACAGTTATTGAATACAATTACTGAGCTCATCACACACAAACTCATTTGTACAAAGATTGAAATCATGTTCTGTGATTTATGAATAAATAGGCCAAGTGGTAAACATCCAAAGTTGTTGCAGGAATTTCTAGAGATCTTGTTTTTCAGTGCCCACACAACTACAGTTACCCAAAGGGGAGTGTAAAATTGTCTCTTCGGGTTCTACATTGTCTGGATTGTAACATTCTAATGACTCTGTGCTAATTAGACAGTTTTCCTACATAAAAGAACACTAATACACCTCAAGTACTCACAGACATACACACTTGTATGTAGTTGCCAGGTGCCTCATTATAAAGCAGCTCCAGCAAAATTATTGTGATTGTATTTTTTACATCTTTATGTATTGTAGAACACCTTAGAATGTCATATTCTAGGTATATAGAGTGTTATATCAAGTGTCATATTATAGTAATAGTAATTATAAAAATGTTGATTATTTGTAGCAATATTACCGTCAAACTTCACGAGAGATAAAGAGGATATCCAGCATCACACTGTCCCCAATGTATGCCCACTTCTCTGAGACAGTGTCTGGACTTGTTACCATCCGTGCTTTCAGGCAGACACCCAGGTCAGTGCTGGGCCTCATTTAGAGCGTAAAGATTACTATGATCTGAGTTGTACAGAAGCTATAGCTACAGTGATCACTGTGTTTCAGAAGCTATAGCTACAGTGATCACTGTGTTTTATCGCCTATGCTGAGAATATATCACCTTTGAATTGAAGGATATTCCATTGATTTATTTTGAAGTGCTCTACATATCATTTTGTTATTTCGTGCAATATCAACCTCATTACCTGTTATATGATGTTATGAAACAGTTCCCTGTACCTCTGTGTTATTTGTGATTGCCATATATTTATTCAGATTTCAGACAGAGAATCTGCACCGCCTTGACCTGAACCAGAGGGCCCAGTTTGTGGCGGGTGCTGTTGGAAGCTGGTTGGGGTTTCGTCTACAGATGATGGGCGTTATCATGGTGGCAGGGATAGCCTTCATTGCTGTACTACAACACCACTTCCAGACAGTCAACCCCGGTACAACACTCAGCACAGAATTACTGACATAGTAAACAGGTCTATCCCACTCCCCATTAGGAAAGCTATATATGTTCGGTGTTAATTCTGACACTCTGTTGTTTTTAACTTAGTTTCCACTAGGCCAACACTATCCCAGTCCCCATTAGGAAAGCTATATATGTTCGGTGTTAATTCTGACACTCTGTTGTTTTTAACTTAGTTTCCACTAGGCCAACAGGCTTAAACAATATCCACTGATTGCGTTTGGGGCAAGGGTGTCTAGAATTGTTTACGATATTGTGATAAGTTTGTGGAAAATCAAGGTCATTGTCAGTATATATTAGTTTCTGCACAATAACTAGAGTTTCATTTAATCAGCATCATTAAGTGTTGTAAACAAAATGGGTTTTTGTTTCACTAAAAATGTATGGATTTCCTTTTCAGGTAACTTTATAAGTCAAATTTGTCATAATCATTGTTACTTTAAATAGATTATTAGTTTCTACAATTACTTTAAGTTCTGTATATCTTTGGCAACAGTCTTGAACTTTCATAAGCTGGTTGCTGGTGAAAGGAAAACAACTGGCATTATTTCAAGGTCACTGTAATAATATATATAATTTTACATCTTTCAGTCTTAAGTGTTAAATTTTGCTTTTAACAATGAAAGTTTACTCCCTATGTATGCTATTCTCTGTACAAATATTTGCAGTCACAATAAATTTGCCCTCAGTACAGAGGGCGAAAAGGGTGAAAGATAAACTGCTGCAAACATTTCCTGGTACATCTGTATGTTGTGTTTGAAACAGATTGAATTTAGATTTCTATTAAGATAAGGTCTTCAAATTATTAGTGGATGACATGATTCAGTAAAAAAATGTTTTTTTGTTATTGTGCAACAAATACATTAAGTTTCATGTTGATAACTTTTACTTTTGAATAGGTCTAGTGGGTCTGGCCATTTCCTATGCTTTGTCAGTGACCAATCTGTTGAGCGGTGTGGTGAATTCCTTTACTGAGACTGAGAAACAGATGGTCAGCGTGGAGCGAGTTCAGCAGTACCTTGACAACATTCCAAAGGAGAGGTGGGAGGGCTCCCTCTTTGTAAGTCTTCTACAGGGCTATGAGATGGAAGCAGTCTCTCTTTTCAAGTCCACTCTAGGGCTGCAAGGTGGGAGGGTTCCTTCTTTCAAAGTCCACTCCAGGGCTGCAATAAGGAGAGGGTTCCTTTGTAAGTCCACTCCAGGGCTGCAATAAGAGAGTGTTCCTTTATAAGTCTACTCCAGGGCTACAATAAGAGAGGGTTCCTTTGTAAGTCCACTCCAGGGCTGCAATAAGAGAGGGTTCCTTTATAAGTCTACTCCAGGGCTACAATAAGAGAGGGTTCCTTTGTAAGTCCACTCCAGGGCTGCAATAAGAGAGGGTTCCTTTGTAAGTTCACTCCAGGGTTGCAATAAGAGAGGGTTCCTTTGTAAGTCCACTCCAGGACTGCAAGGTGGGAGGGTTCCTTCTTTGTAAGTCCACTCCTAGGCTGCAAGGTGGGAGGGTTCCTTTGTAAGTTCACTCCAGGACCACAAGGTGAGAGGGAATGGTTCCTTTGTAAGTTCACTCCAGGACTGCAAGGTGGGAGGGTTCCTTCTTTGTAAGTCAACTCCAGGGCTTCAATGTGTGGAAGTTCCTTCTTTGTAAGTCCACTCCAGGGCTGCATGATGGGAGGGTTCCTTCTTTGTGTTCTTGTAAGTCCACTCCAGGGCATATCAATGCAAACTTGAGTTTGAAAGGTCTTACATCATGTTATTTTATTTTTTTACAGTTCTTTCATATGTCTGATGAGATACCAACCATCTGTCCATTTTCAACTTTCATATTGATGTTTAATTATAACTGTTTCCTTTGCTGTTCTGATTATAATGATTTGTATATCTGTAAAATGCTTTCAAATGCTGCATCACATGAAATTTCATTTGTATATTCTTTTACAATTTTAGTTGATGTTTATTATTTTGAAGGTGCATTTTAAGTTGGAACATTCATAGATTAATAATATATCTATTATACTAAAATGCAGTTCCATTGCTACAATGCAAACTTCAAAAGTAAAACCACAATGAAAATTTCAAGTTATAAAATATTTATATTTATTCTTTTTCATCCTAATTTGTCCTGGTAAAGTGTCGTTTAAAAGCATTATAATGCAAAACAATTGACCAGTAACAGTGACAATGCCTTATATGACTGCTGTAGGTATCAGCCACCTGGCCAGACTCCGGAGTTATAAGGTTTAAGGAAGTTTGCCTCAAGTACAGACAGGGCTTACCTTATGCTTTGAATAGAATTTCATTCAACATATACTCAGCGGAGAAACTCGGCATTGTGGGGCGCACTGGGTCAGGGAAGTCAAGTCTCTTTCTTGCACTATTTCGTATCGTTGAAATCAGTCGTGGAGAAATTCTCATTGATGGGATGAACATTCAACACTTGGATCTTACAGATGTGAGGTAAGTCTCGATTCATTGTGTATAGATATCAGCTACATCATGTCTGATGAATGTGTGTTAAGAACTTGGGTACATGTATGTCACGTCTGATAAGCATGCGTGGATTTTCTCAATACCAATGTATTTTAATGTCCTCTTTTCCTCTCTTCTTTAACATTTCCTTTACACATATCCCTTGAAACATATTGCCAGATCCCTTTATTGCACCATGTTAGATGTGTTTTTCCAGCTGTGTTTGTTTTGTGGTAAGATTTATGAGTTTAAGTTGATCATGGAAATAGGTAATACAGGTTTGAGGACTTGAAGTGATTAAACGTTTGAAAATATCATTATAGTGATCTTCTACTAGCAAACTGTTCATTAACTTCCTATTTCTAGCTTTTTTGTTTTGGTAACATTATAGTGTTAGTCATTTGTGAGGTTTGATTGTTGATACATGGTAAAATCCTGACGTCAGAAGTAACTTGTTTAAGACCCCTACAACAGAATCTATGGCTTTGTCTAGTACGAAATATGTTTAGGAGACTGCAGGAGATGATTTATATTGGATGTTAAACAGTTTGTTGATTATTACAGGCGACACCTGGCTGTGATTCCCCAGGACCCATTCCTCTTTAGTGGTACCGTCAGAGAGAATCTGGACCCCACCTCTTGCTACAGTGACGAAGAACTATGGGGTGTTCTTGACAGGTGTCACCTCCGACTGCCTGTCGACAGACTCGGGGGACTCGAGGGAGAGGTAGCAGAGAAGGGCCGGCATTTTTCAGTGGGACAGAGACAACTCATGTGTTTGGCTAGGGCACTTCTCACTAAAGCAAAGGTAAGACATATTTCTCTTAGGCAGAGATTACTCCAGTATCTGCATGCTAGGGCACTCCTCACAACAGCTAGACAATTCAGGTATATTGTAACTGGCAAATGCTGTCCTCACAACAGCTAGATAACACACGTATCTGGCTAAGCTACCTCACAATAGCTAAACAATTCTTTCTGATGTTTAACTAGGGCTGTGCTCAGCTAGAAAACCCATATCTATACAAAATTTGGTCCTCCTGAAAATAACCTCTGATGGCCCAGCACTTTAAGTCAAAGTACTGACAGCTAATATCTATAAAAATAAAGCCTTCCTCACCAAAGTAACACAATTATGTAAAAAGGCAAATATGTGTTTGTCTTACGTCTCAAATTGCACCAGTGCACTCCACGTTTGGAGCTTCACATGGGCTTTAGCTTGAGTGCAACATCGTTTGCGCAATAAACTACAGCTAAACTTGTAGAAACATCCTGATATTCTGATGTTGTGTTTCTGTACCAGGTGTTGTGTATTGACGAAGCTACGGCTAGTGTGGATCTGGAGACAGACATGTTGATACAGGAGACAATACGACAGGAGTTTGTGAACAGTACGGTGCTGACCATTGCCCATCGTATCAACACCATAATGGACAGTGACCGAGTGTTGGTGATGGATCAAGGTCAGGTGGCCGAATTGGACTCTCCCAGGGTATTACTACAAAACTCACAATCTTTATTTTACAAACTGGTAAATGGTGAAAGTTAACGTCAAGCAGGACTCATCCGGAGAATTGTTTTAACTGATCTCGTAGCCTAGAGAAAGTTAGAGATGTTTATATGAAAGATCGATAATAAAGGCAATTAGCAGCTGAGCATAAAAAACACAATGATAGAAGTTATGTGAAAACACTTTAAACAACATATCAAAGCAATCTCTCGTCTGCTTATTACCTAAAATCATGACAGTGAAAGAAAATACACCTAATGGATTTCTGAGTTAGTGAGCATTGGATCAGTATATATTTATTTCTGTCTCAGAAGCATGTGTCAAATTCATTACAGAAGGACAATACATTTAAATGTGTGATATATAGTATTTGTACCCGTGTTTTATTGTAAACTTGATCTCATGTGGCTGTTATCATCACAACTTATATTTTTACATACATACTGTAGCATTGTCTGTGATACGCACCTTTAGTTATAGACCATTGCAGGAGTAAATTGTGTGGATGACCTGCTATTGTGTCCAAGTTTTCACATTTTGATTATGGTGGAACCTAAAAGTAGATCTGGAGTGGCCATGCACTGTTCGTGTGATGACAGAAAACCTTATAAAAATGCAGAAAAACCTCAAACAAATGAAATCCTGTATATCCTATCAGCCTAGAAGACCTAGTCCTTAGAAACTGGGTAGCATGAACATTTGGCAAATAATCGAGAAGTTGGCTACAAATGTGGAAATTCACTAAATTCAATAATTAAGTTGATGTAATATTTCAAAATTATGATTTAAAAATCAGAATAATTCAAAATTATAGTTCACTTGCTTGAGGTATTTTTTATTTAGAAATGATAAAGGTTTTGATAAAATGTTCTTTACATTGAATGGTCAGCCCTGCATTTGGAGAATACAGATGTCCTATTGTAATCACCTTATATGTGTCTGTCCATCTGGCCGTTTTCATTTCCGTACAATAACTTGCTTAATTATTGTCTAATTTTGATAAAAAAATGTTTGAGCATGGAAAATGAGCAAAGACTATGGCTGATTTAAATTTGAGAAAAATTCTCTTATAATTAATTAGTCTATAGTGTCCTACACTCTGATATGTGTCTGTTCTGTATATGGTATTGTAAACATTATATTGCCATAGTGAAATACATATGTAACATTTTGCATTTTAAACTGGCCAAACAATGCATGCAGTATTTACAAGTTTCCATTACTATATCGTAGTTTATCCATGTCAATATTTTTTACCATAACGTCAATGTAAACAGGTGTTCCTCAATCATCGGTGACTGGTGACCGTGATTAGAGTCAGTAAATATAGATTTGTTAATTACAGCGTGAAGTGGACATCAGATAAACATGATGACCAACCACCATGAGATTGCGATCTCCTTTGATATCGTTCATATCATGTCAGATAGCTTATACACCTTTTGTTGCTCCGTTTTCTAATCCATTAAATACAAAATATTACAGTTCCTGTACTATAACTTCCAGCATGTTACTCTCATGTGTTTAGCACAAGATATTTAACCAAGACAGACTTGGATGCTTTGGGAGTGATTAAACCTACAGTGAAACAGGACAGGACAAACATATTACTGCCCAGACTGACATTCAAACTCTAAATACATGTATAACAGATGTCTTTTCCAACTGAGCTAGCTCGTCACCAGTGATTGTTCCGGTCCACACCCAACACAGTAGAAGTGATACATGGGAGAGCTACAATTCTGTTTTTCTATTGAACATACATGTATAGCAAGGAGCAACTTGTGGTCATTTGATGTACAGTTTTGGGAATTTGTTTGCTTGATGGTTGAACAGTTCAGAACTTAATTGTCTTTCTGTGATTTTCCACATCTTTTAGCTATAATAATGTTGGCACCTGAGATCAGTTACATAAGAGACTTATGAGTTCCAGGCTCAGTTTCATGAATGTAAAACAAAATTCCTTAACATAAGTTTTTCCTTAGGGAACATTGTTTGTGTTAAGGAAAAATTGAAGTTAACTTCAGGAAAGCTTTCGGATGGAAAATTCCAAGATTATGAATTGCTTTCAGTTCAGGTATGTTCCTAAAACTGGGTGCGAAACGTGCTCATGAAAATGATCAGGTTTTGTAATTTGGTGATGTATTTTTATATAATTTCTACAACATTTTATCTTAATATTCACAACATTGTATAAAGATTTGATCAGGGTGACAAAGACCTTCAAATGAGGAATTTTTGGTATATCATACATTTCTGAGATAGTCATGATATTATGACCTGTATTTGTCTTTATATTTCATCTTTATTTTTTCATTAAAGTTCTACTTTTTAAAAATCATTTATAAGAGTTATTGATATGTCCATGAAAAGTATCCTATTCATGGTTACAGTTTTTGGCAGTGGTACGTGGATCTTTAAATATCTAATAACTCATAATTTTAATACTCAAGTACATGTATTACACATTCATGAGTTTTAAAACACATGTGCAGAGACTATATGTATGACTTTAATTACCATTATATAATGATATCTATGACAAAGTATCTATAAAAAAGGCATTTACTACAATAATGAATTTCCCTCCACTATATTGTCCTGTCACATAAGTGGTGTTTACAGAGAGGATATCATGGGGACTATCTGCTATGACAAAGCATCATAAAATAAACTTAACGCTTTGTAAGGACAATATATAGTGGAAGGAAATTCATAATTGTAGTAAAAGCCTTGCATTGATATATTCTTCTGATACGTATTTTGCATTGTATTTGAGTTTTCTGGGTATGTAAAATTACAGAAGTTGGAAGCCTGTGCAATATGTTGATGATTTAACTGTTACTTTCATCTCTTTGATGATTATTTAGGTGTTTTTTTTGATACAGACTCTACAATATATTTTTTGTAGATTCATGTTGATGACATAAATGTTATCATGTATTACTAGCGATTTTCTTACAAGCAATTTCCAGACACAATTGTTTTCTTCATATAAGTAGTACATGTACATGTAACAGAAACTTGGTTAAATTGCATCAAGATAATATTTTGGTGAAATGTTAGAAATTAGTCTTCAATAGAATTGCTGTTGTTTTTTGTAGAAGTTATAAATCCAGTTGCTGTTACAGTGCTTTGAACCTCTTAACTGATAGTTGCTTTGAAGAATCAAACTACTTGTGTTCTTACAATCAGTATGGTGATTTTGTGGACTATTGATGTGAAGCCACAAAGTAAATAAAAAATATGAAAAACCTAATGAAAAAAGGAAGTAATCTCTTTAATATATGCATGATACAATTTATTTTAAAAATTTAATGTTTTCACATGTTAACTTTACAGTACAAATTAAGTCTTTAAACGGTAATATACATGTAATATTTACATGAATATCTCACATAAATTTCAACAGATTTGATTTAAGGATAAATATATTTTTCATGAATACTCTAAAAATATCAGCGAACAAAACATCACCCAAGTCTTAAACAAATTATATATATTAAATATTTAATAAAAAATGAAATCACAATATCTCAATAAAATAAGTTAAATGTGCTTGAGTTTCTATCCTGAAAGTTATGCCGTGTCCCGGAATCTGTCGCCCGTTAATTATCGTTTAAAAGGCTACAATTCCACAACGGCTGAAGAAGGTTGTGGAATGGCGACATGTATTTAATTCTCTCCAATAACAGTCACCGTACGATTTCGCTTCGCTACTCGCTCATCAACGGGTGATGAGTGAGAAGCGAATCGAAATCAACCGTGGGTATCGGTGATGATGGAAACCATGAACTCAAAATGATAGAACTAATTACTATCATCCCATGAATCGCTTACATTTATACAATATCTATTCCGTCATATAGACCTGACTTTATTAAAATGCAACCTATTTGACACATGCAATACTAAAAGTTCAAAGTAAGAATTTAAAAAGTGACCACATTTAAAAAAATCATGCCGTTCGCTTGAGATTTGTTCCGGAACATAATTAACGATTTCATTCTCAGAAAGTCATCTCGGGCGAAGTAGGTCCCCTTGCAGAACACCTTTATAAAAATGCAGTAATATTCTGATTTCTGTTTTCGTGCATGCGCACCAGTCCTTGCACATCGCTTTTTGATTCACTAATTTTCTGGTTTCATGAGCTTAGAGATGTCCCGGAAAATGTGTTCTTAATGTGTGCATTTCTGTAAACATTTGCGTTTCCAGAGCATATCTCTAAATCCGTTTCAGATTTGTCCATCAGATTTCCTACATCGTCAAGCACATAATTCACAAAGGGATGCCTAACTTTCTTCTGATTTCAATAAGTTTCCAGATGTCACGAAAATTGTTCATGAAATATGGGAATTTTGCAATAATGTATTATAATAATTATATATTTTTGTATAATTTATGTTTGGGGCATATCTCACAAACCGATACATATATTTGATCTTCATGCTGCACACAAGTAGAGAGTCGATCACAAAGCAAATGGTTGCCTTTCGGTTATTTAAATTATCTGATTGAAGACATTCCAGCTGTCATGTTAACAGTGCTCAGAACGTGAACATTTAAGTGGACATTTCTGTTTCCGCAGCATATATCAAAAACATGACATATTGTATTCATACATGAGTCAATCCCAAATGGGTGCTTCACATGTGACATATTAAAAAAACATACTATACTTTAAATTTGGTATAGTATTTTTTTTTGAATATGTCACATCTTGAAAGCAAATGAATAATTATAAAATATTTTTTCTGTTCCATCAGTAGTTAAGACTAATTTGGATTTCCACCTTTTTGGCTCCTAGTATCTATCACCAAGGAGTCCTAGGACTCAACAGCTGTATGGCGAAGTGTAATTCATTTTTGGCACAACGTATCACAGGGGCATGGATCGCTTTACTTGTAATATTAAAAATAGTGGTCTCCTCTACTATTTTTAATATTACAAGTAAAGCGATCCATGCCCCTGTGCAACGTATAGCCAAATTTTATAAAGATGCGATCACGTCGTCTTTCAAGATACAGAGTCATAGACTTTGCTGGTGTATTTTTGTGTCCCCTAGGTTTGGCGTAACATTGACAGGTACGGTTCATTTGTTTGCATCTTCCCCGCTTTTTCAAGAGTTTTTTTTAGACCATTTCGGATTGCCAAGTTTTAGGACCATAGCATCATGGATGAAACCAGGAAGGACGAAACAGCATGGGGCATTGAAATTCCTTTTTTACCTACTCTAATGCTAAATTTATAGTTGCAATCACACCCGAGTATAGATGGACAAAATCCATTTCAGGTGGCCGAAATACAAATTTGTAATAAAAAAGAAAACTGTATGATATCTATTTCTGAAAAATAACCAAACATTTTTGGAATTGATACCATGGAACGTATAAGATACATCCATATTTAACGTTTTCGGTACACTGACAGTACTGAAATTTGAATAAAACCGTAATGTGGAACTAAAATCGACGAATATTTGGCAAAATATGAACTAAGGAAATTAAAGATTAACATGGATTCCCTTGGATTCGTATAAGGGAGAATAAACCAGCTGTACCAGAAGGTGACCATTAAATCACAAGGCATATGCGCATGGACCTTGGAATGGAATATTTCGAAATGAAGAAAATAGCAGCCATTGAACTAGCTTATTGTTTCCACCAAAATGAAAACATCGTAGTTTGGGAAGCAGGTGTGTTACTGTCAAGAAAAGGATAGTTCACTATAGGAAAATCAATGAGAGTCGTGTTCATAAACCAGATCTGAGCATTTTTCTTCTTTGAACAAATGTTGTTTTTTCAAGAACTTAAATTTTCTCTCTTTTATTTTGAATCCATACATGTACATAGATGTGTACTGAACTACAAAACGTTTCTTTATATATTTACATTTGCTCAGCATCCTTTCATTGTAAGGCATTGCGAAGGCAAATGTTGTTATAAGACTATTGTAATGTCATCAATCTTTATTGTGACGTCATCAAACTCAGTTTTGTCAACACTTGATTTGCGGTTCAAAAACCTTTCGAAATAACTAAATAAAGCATAATGACTCTATACAGATATAAATATGAATAATGAACATTTAGCAAATATTGTGATGATCTTATAACACACATTTCTATTGCTGATAAACTTTCATAAAGTATAGTTTATTGACTTCGTCAGATTAATTTACATATAGCACCATTGATTTGATTTTGTTCACATAACTACTGTCATTCTTCAGCATGACACAAAACTTTTAGATATAATAGTTCCTGAAATATTTCCATTTATTTACCGTATAATTCATAATACCCGTCACATACCATTATACCCGAAATGTAGCTGGACACAGTTGTATTATATACGTAGTAAATGTCTCATTCAGTTAACAATATAAATAAAGATAATCATATGTCAATAGCGAACTTAAGATAAATAAATAGAAAACAACATATATCCTAAAAGATATTGTATAACACAACAATCTAAATATAATTAGAAAACGTATCTTCATCTAGAACTAGCATTTATCATATACTTATTCCTAAATATTATCTGTTTGTATTGCTAAGGATGAGTCAACCTTCACTTGCGCTACCCTTTATTACAAGCGCATTCGGAATACCTCTGCTTGACCCCTTTATCAGTTGACGAGATTACTTTATCGCATCCACCTCATCATACCCGTCCGGAATACCTTTATTGCACACATATGATAAGTGAATTGTCATATGGCTTTTCCATACCATACCGTAACAGCCGTCGACCAGTGTCAACCCTGCAGGTAGGGCATAAGAATTGTACCTGCTGCCCCCAATTGCATGATCGTAAGAGGCGACTAAATTTGGGACCTTATCTCTTCTCTCCTTTCTAAATAACTTTCTTCTTCCTAATGTCTCCCTTGACAATNTATACGGTGTATGATACGGTGTACGACACGGTGTATGATACGATGTATGATACGGTGTACGATACGGTGTACGAAACGGTGTACGATACGGTGTACGACACGGTGTACGATACGGTGTACGACACGGTGTACGACACGGTGTACGATACGGTCTATGATACGGTGTACGATACGGTGTACGATACGGGGTATGATACGGTGTACGATACGATGTAGGATACGGTGTATGACACGGTGTACGATACGGTGTATGATACGGTGTATGACACGGTGTATGATACGGTGTATGACACGGGGGTATGATACGGTGTATGGCACGGTGTACGATACGGTGTACGATACGGTGTACGATACGGTGTATGATACGGTGTACGATACGATGTAGGATACGGTGTATGACACGGTGTACGATACGGTGTATGATACGATACGATGTATGATACGGTGTATGATACGATACGATGTATGATACGGTGTAGAAAACGGTGTACGATACGGTGTATGATACGGTGTATGATACGGTGTACGATACGGTGTATGGTACGGTGTACGATACGGTGTACGATACGGTGTATGATACGAGTGTATGATACGGTGTATGACACGGTGTATGATACGGTGTATGACACGGTGTATGATACGGTGTAGGAAACGGTGTACGATACGGTGTACGATACGGTATATGATACGGTGTATGACACGGTGTATGATACGGTGTATGACACGGTGTATGATACGGTGTATGATACGGGGGTATGATACGGTGTAGGAAACGGTGTACGATACGGTGTATGATACGGTGTATGATACGGGGGTATGATACGATGTATGACACGGTGTATGACACGGTGTATGATACGGTGTATGACACGGTGTACGATACGGTGTATGATACGGTGTATGACACGGTGTACGATACGGTGTATGATACGGTGTATGACACGGTGTAGGATACGGTGTAGGAAACGGTGTACGATACGGTGTATGATACGGTGTACGATACGGTGTACGATACGGTGTATGATACGGTGTACGATACGGTGTATGATACTGTAATAGCCGTACTATGTCCTTATTTTTATAACAACTTTCATAACTTATTCTCAATTATAATGATATAGTAGCCGAGTCATAGTTGTAGAATGATTATCTGATCCCATTCAGCATTGCAATGTGATGTCTGATTATCGTTATTCTATCCCCATTCAGATTCAATATATATCGATGACCATATCATCATTCATAGTCAGTATATTCTGATAAGCTTCCGTTACCATTAATAAGAGTCAATATATATAAGTTGTCTTGTCCTTACTGAGAGTCTGTATATATATATATTGACTAGCTTATCCTCACTCAAAGAACATGCACTTATTACCCTATCCTTACTTAGAGTCTGTATACATTGACTACCCTATCCTTACTTAGAGTCTGTATACATTGACTACCCTATCCTCATTAAAAGTTAGTATACTGATTACCCCTTCCACATTTAGAGGTATTTAATAAAAAAAAAATACGTTTAAGTTACGTTTGTTCAGAGTGAGTATATATTGATTGTCCCGTCCTTAAACTTTGTATTTTTATATAAATTAATCGGCCTATCATGCGGTTGACATGTCCTCATATAGAAGGAATATACAAGTATACCCCTTCATAAAATGTATTGCATGTACATATATCAGAGCAGTGTTCCATTTCACCAATGATAACAACCAGGTATATACTAGGTATACCACACAACTAGAAGTTTAAATATTGATTCGTATTACAAATGTGCTATTCAGTCTTTCGAGAGTCACCATGAACTAGTTTGTAGAATGCAGATTGTGGGTTTATGAGAAGGTTTTCCGGAGAGTCCAATTCGGCCACCTGACCTTGATCCATCACCAACACTCGGTCACTGTCCATTATGGTGTTGATACGATGGGCAATGGTCAGCACCGTACTGTTCACAAACTCCTGTCGTATTGTCTCCTGTATCAACATGTCTGTCTCCAGATCCACACTAGCCGTAGCTTCGTCAATACACAGCACCTAGATTGAGAAAAGGACATTGTATTATGTTTCCTGCAATTTATACATTTATCAAGTAAATCTATAGTGAACAGAGATGGAGTCAATACGCATTGATGGTTGTTATCTACCAATGTATCATGAATTGCCTACACATCACATTGAAAAGTTACTCACCTTTGCCTTTGTGAGAAGCGCCCTCGCTAGGCACACGAGTTGTTTCTGACCCACAGAGAAACATCGTCCTCTCTCAGTCACCTCTCCCTCTAGCCCCCCTAGTCTGTCGACAGTCAAACGGAGATGACATTTGTCCAGAACACCCCACAGTTCCTTGTCACTGTAGCATGAAGTGGGGTCCAGATTCTCCCTGACGGTACCACTAAAGAGGAATGGGTCCTGGGGAATCACAGCCAGGTGTCGCCTGAAAATGTATACATAATTATCTCTGAATTGTGGTAAGACTGTTCTATAGAATAGTAACGGTTACCTGTGGTCGTGTTTCTATAGGTTATAAACAATTTGACGTTTTTGACAATGGCAGAATTTTTGTAGTGTTCCCCGATTGCACGTGAAAACGGTATGAGGTCACATGCAGGACCACCTGGGTTTTCTGCGTGTACTTACCTCAACAGTTAAACACCTAGCTGCGGGCTTCAATCAGGACCAACATAAATGAAAACTAAAATTGATACATTAAGTGTATTTATTTCGCCAATCACCTGACGTCTTTGAGATCCAGTGGTTGTATGTTCACTCCATCAATGGTTATGTCTCCAGAGCTGATCTCCACAGTACGGAACAGTGTCTGGAAGAGGCTTGATTTTCCGGCCCCAGTCCTCCCAACAATTCCCACTTTTTCTGCGTGACGTGTGCTGAACGTGAGGCCTTTGAGGACGTTAGGTAAACCATCCCGGTACCTCATGTGGACATCACTGTAGCTGATCACACCTGTAGCTGGCCAGGCCGGGGAAGGCTGTAACAAACAATTAGGGTAAACGTGAAATATCTTGATGGCTATAATTTCTAAATTTGATTTAAACATTATTTATTGATATAAATATATAATTCAGCTTACTTCACTCACCTCTAAGCCTTCCCATCTCTCGCTGGGCGTGTCATCTATATACTGCTGCACTCTCTCAACGCTAACCATTTCTTTTTCCATCTCCGTCACAGAATTGACGATTCGGTTCAGATGAAGTGATAGGGTAAGCGTGTAAGATATGGCAAGTCCAGCGACTCCTGTGATATTGATATCAATATTTCATATTCAAATTAACATGATACTTTTACCAATAAACAATTATTTTAACGTGAGATCCCAAAGGAATCTTGACGCCTACTTTATGACGTCAGCTTATGTCATAATAAAATACTTTACTGGAAAGGAGTGTAGGATTTGCCCTACCATATTGCTTCATAATGATGTTAACAATTCATATATTAAATTTGACCTTGACCTTTTATCTAACGCCCTTGATTTTAAATCAATGAGGCACCTGACACAATATAAACAATCGTTTGGACCTTTCGCGATGTGACCTTTATTTTCTATTATAGATTACTTACCATATGCTACCGTTCAATGTTCATATTGCTTCACAATGCTTATCGTTGAGGGGACATGTAAGTTGACGTTAATGACCTTGACGTTTCATATTGACTTTGTACCAAAGTTGCACAACTAAAGGTAAAGGGAAGTCTGTGTACACAGTTTTTGAGCTATCTTTCCGGCTCTCCTTTGTCAAAAAGCATTAATAAAAAGCGTTGATAAAATCTGACCTGAAAGCCAATATGACAGCCATATTGCTTTTCATATATAAAAGAAAGTGTTGACACCAAGAAAACCTGTGCAAAATGGTGAAAAAGAGCTGTTCAGTACTTCCGGAGAAATTTCAAAAAAATGGACGATGGGTCATTTGAAAAATTTATTACCTGAATATGGTTGGGCTGAAATATATGCAGCTTGGAAGCGCAAATATATACGGATATTTTACCTGGTTCGATACGAAAGATGTTGTGTTGTATCACAGCCAACAGAGCTATTCCCGTCACAATGACAGTTCCAATAGCCTGTGTCCGGAACAAGAACCAAAGTCCGATATTATGGGATGTATAGTGAGCTCTTAACCAGTTGTTCACGCGGTCAACGTGTTGGTCTTTAAATCTACAAGCATAAGGTGAACTGCCTATGAGAATGTTTTATATCATTTTACCGCATTCCTTATCAAACTCATTTCCTGCAAACAATTCTGAATTCCCAAAGAACTAGAAATATCCAAACAAATAATAAAGTGAAATGTTTGATAGTTATGGTTTGAATTACAAAGAATGATTTATGTCACTTAAGGGAATCGACTTAAGTTTTATTGAGTAAATATTATACGGTCTATCGATCAGAAGTTTTGTTATAAGGGTTAGAAAACCGTAATTCATGGTCATTTCGATAAATTAAAAGTATAACCCTCCGGTGATTAGGAATACCAATTCTTCTCCTCGGTAAAAGGCGTTGGCTAACATTTTAAATGTGTCTTTTACATTTTCTCTTACCTTATAAACAAATACTTATTTCAATGACAGCAAAATACCCTCTCTTTTGGTTAAGTGTATATGACCACTTACATGGGAAATGTCTATGACATGCCAAAAAAAGCTGACAAGTCTATTCAGCTACGCTCTTAGTCGAAGCGTAGTATTTAGTTATTTCAAATGTACCGATTGGCGATCAGATAGACAAATACGAATCTGAATCGAGATGAGGGGCTGTTATACTGTCATATATTTACAACCGGGTTTTCAACAAAACTCGGCCAAATTGACTTTCGATTAAAACGTCATTTCGAACATTTATAACAACTTCTAATATAAATACGCTAATAGCGTAGTCGTATGTATGGGTTTTATTACCATCTCGTTCACATTCTACACATTACTGTACTCATGTTTACAGGTATTTGTCTAATGAAGGTGTCAGGGTGCATATTGTACTAGTCAGCGAAACGTTACACATAAACATTTGATAAGTTATGTATATGAACCTGTTTACAGTATATGTTTACCAATATAAAGAAAGTTTTGAAAAAATGAAGTCAATGCCGAGTTCATAATGCCATGAAACACCCACATACCACGAAGCTGAACAATACGTAAACTAAGACCAGTCAGAGGCCTTTGCAACACTGTTCTCGCCCTCGCCCCCTATAAATCTTACTGACCCTCTATGGTTCTGTAGAGGGTCAGTAACTGACTATATAACTAATAATGTCGAATTGAACAATGAAATTCTGAATGAATATCAAGGCATGTTCATCAATGCACGTGTCAAGATTGTTTATTATGTAATATGACTAATAACAATGTTCAAAATGAGAAATGGAGTGAAAACATAAAGTCCCTTATATTTCGTTTTGTGGACTTCATTAAACAATATTTATATTTTAGTTTCCGTGGGTACTGTTACTGACATCTTATAATTACGCCTAGTGCAAGTTTTGAAACTGGCCTTTCTGTCTGTCGGAATGCCCGGATGGTAACTACTCCCGCAACAGTCTCTGAGAAGTGGGAGAAGATCGGTGAATAGTTAAGACTTGCTATTCGTCTAACTTCCCTAGACGTGTGGCGATATCTATCCTGGAAAAAATGAAATAAAAAGATAAATCAATCAGTCTTACTATATACTAGTTACCAGCCAAGTTAAATGGTATTTAATTCCTCCAATTATATATCAATAAATGTATTTAATAACAACAAGTTACCCATAAATGTAGAAAAGATAGCGTTGATACTAAATGGTTCATTACTGAACGAATAGTATGAGTAAGTGTCGTATAACAGGCTGTATTTTACCTTCATTCTGATAACCACGCAACGTACCTGTATGCGATAATAGAAGAAGGCTACTGGTAGCAGGAGAAGAATAAACCAAGGCATGCCGTAACAAGCGATGAGTACACTTCCAGCTATATTGAACGATTTAGCTATGCTCATATTGATGGTGCTGCTGATGGTGTCGTCGATGGTATCCATGTCAGATGAGAATCTGTTTAGAATCCGGCCTACAGGAGTTACATCATAGAAGGACATAGGCGCCTACAATCAACCAATACATTAACTTAATCACAACTCCCTCGGCCAATAAGAAGACGCTGTGATGGCATCTTCATGGGGAAATATTAAACGCAATTGATCTATCGAATATCATAATGACAGTGTCATTTTTTAGCGTGTCTGCCATAAACACCATAAATGGTCTACCTTGAGTATAGTTTTGAGTAGGTTGGTGTGCATAGTCTTAGCCACACTCATCCCACCATAGACGAAGAGAAGTTCCCTGGTCACCGCGGATAAAGAATAAACACTGGCTAGGCAAACGAAGACTATCATGTAATATGCAAGACTGGGTTGGCCGAGTGTTACAGTGCCAGTTGTATCATAACCTTGATCGAAGCTGAAATGGAGAAGATAGAATTTAGAAATAGAAATAAAGTGGAATAATCCAATGATTCGGTCATTCAGAAGAAAAAATGGTTATCAAATCATCTCAAAAGTATCGTACCTGTTGGGAGTAGACATGTTGTCATAGAAACAGAGGTGCCCGGTAACGGTAGTGCTTGTATTGTTAATACTAGTGCTGTTCACCCAGTGAGCAAGCCACCAGTTTTGCATCTTCTGAAATGCTGAAATAGGAACAAAATATAAAAATGATGATTTATGTTTTACAAACTTCTGACACAGACGCAGTCGAAATGATTAAACTTAAATTTCTGCTTAAAATCTACAATTTTTCTTCTGTGAAATGTTTATTATCACTTTAAAAAACATGCGACCCCGCTTCCACTTTAATGGAAATAAATAAAGTAGATCGCATCATCTAACCACTTGTTTAAAGTCATACCTTATCTTAAAGAGTATAATATGAGAAAATTCATTACCAAAGATGATGTGTTCACATGCTCTTACCTTTGTTGTGATTGGTCAAGGTTACACATTTTACACAATGTTTGGCAGAATTTATTAGCTTGATAGAATGCGCAACAAATGTATGTAATATCTTCCAACCCCGTAAGAATATTTCCAAATTATGGAAGTGCTATTTCTAAAACACATGTTTCCACCAAATAAAAAGACATTTAAGCTACCCCTACTGTTTTTCGGAAATTCGAAAATCATCATATTTTCACCATTTTTGCTGTTTGGTATAAAATCTTCTAAAAAAAAAGTCTGTTTTGCTTCATATGCTTTTTATAAAACTAAACATCTTAAATTAGCACAGCTAAAATCAACTTGGTACTGTTAAAATGGTGATAAAATAACACATTTGATTCTTTTTTTTCTTCTAAATTTTAGCATTTCATAGAGTGAAACAAACACGGTTTTTGGCTCATTAAAAATGGCTGCCAAATTGATAATTTTTGAAAGCTTTTATTAAAAATTTCCAAAAAGCGGTTTGTAAGTTTAAATGTTTTTTCGACAAATATTTAAAATGCACGTTTACTTTCAAAATTGTTCATATATTGATTAATTTCTTGCAAATTTGTAGCACTAGATAAATCGAGATTTTAACTTGATTTAAAACTCAGAAGAGTATATCCTGATGACGGAAAAAGCCAATATTATAATTCCCACTTCACTAAGTGACAGGGAGTAATCAGTTTTATAAACGAAATCGCATTATCATACTTCTTTCTTTTTCTATTATAATGACCTGGATACCCATACTGATTAGGAAAGAGCAAATCGTACCTTGCATGAAGAAAAAACACAGGAGAATGACTGGGGGAACCCATTTATCAAGCGCTGCCAGATATGTCTTGTACACTCGTAACTTAACACCACCAGTCGCCTTGGCCTCCTCTTTCATCTTACCATCCTTGTCATTATTTTCAGTGTAACCTATTTCTGCGGCATTTTTGTCGGATGGTTTGTGCTCAGCAAATATAATGCCATCTAGAATGTCAGCTGGGATACCTGTTTAAATTACACAGTAAATGTTCACGAATTATTGCAACTTTATTCTGTTATATATATATATTTATGAATTATCTTAAATCGTCTATCAGAATTTCATACGCATGTAAAGGTATCCTATATAAAATTGATTTAAATGTACCTGTCTCTGTAATAGAAGACCTCAGAAGGTTTAAAATATATCTTAGGAAGTATAACTTATATCTCATGAACGCTAAAAGATATCTTTAAGAAATCTTGTATTGAAAATTAAGGTATAAACGATATCTTGATCACTATTGTATAAAACTTAATATTTTATATAAATTTGTATTAAGATATCTCATCAATAACGTGAATTTGCGGTTAGTTGGAAAGTTGGCTTGCAATAGATACTTCAAATATATGTTATCGAAAATGTCAATGCCAGAACTACATTTCAAAAGATGAAAGCGTATTTAAGTCCTACCCATTTTGCTGATTACTCCGTCATTCATGACAATGACCAGGTCTGCTTCCCCAAGAAATTTTGTGTGATGTGTGCAGAGTATTCGCGTCTTTGTCCTGAGTAATCCCATAATACATTTGTCATAGAGATGTTGTGCCACGTGGGCATCAACTGCAGCTAAGGGATCGTCAAGTAGATACACATCTTTATCCTAGGGACAGAATGGAACATAAACATATATTTAGATTTCAAAGAAATTTTAATATTGCACTGCAATTTGGTATGTCATATATCATTAGCAAAATTATAGTTGACGGAAGACATTTTCCTTCAATTCTTTTTATGAGGATAGAACTTCAATGTGTGAATGTGTTAGGTTCATTTTTCAAAATACAAGGTGTATATGTTGGTGGATTTCCTTAAGTACCCGAGGTTTGCCGTAACCTTGATAAACTCAGTTTAGTAGTGGCAAAGTTCTTACAAATTGGAAGTCATATAATGTAGGGGTTTACGCACTTCCCCTTCTCTTTCAAAAGTAGTTTAGACCAATTCGGATTTTGGCTATGAGTCATAAAAGTACGAATCAGTGCAATTAATTTTTGGCATACTGTTAATAGTACTGAGTTTTAAAGGTACAGTTCCATGTGTGTGACTTACATTTCATCTTTCAATATATCAACATCATATATGTTTACCTTATATAATGCTCTAGCGAGAGCGAGTCTGGCCTTTTGACCTCCGCTCAATGTTACTCCTCTCTCGCCAACCTCTGTTCTGTCCCCAGCTGGTAGTATCTAAAGGAAAAAACAAGGCATTTTATTTTTGTATTAAGTTTATAACTATTTAAATGCATCAGATATCGTGGAAGCTTAATTCCATAATGTTCCGAACCACAAATAAATTTACGGTATGTTACATCGCGTTTCATACACACATCTATGTCTTGTTTTAGTGATGCTGCATCCAGAACCTCAGCGTATTTCTTGGCGTTGAACGGACTGCCAAAGGTAATGTTATCACGGACGGTTGCCTGTTGTATCCAAGGTTCCTGATCCGCAAGAGCAAATCCGTTTTTGATGTTTGACACAGAAATATTGCCGTCTTTCCGAGCCATTTCTGCCATTATAGCGTTTAAGAAGGAACTTTTTCCAGAGCCAACCTTGCCGATCACTCCAATGAACTTGCCCTTTGCAGAAAATAGATTATTTATCATGCCAGTTTCAAGATATATTTTGTCACAGACGAAATGTAACAAATTGATTGTTTTACATAAACCAAGCATTGATTGAATCAACAAATTGAATATTAAATGATCACCTTTGTGATGTCAACAGTAATGTCTCGTAAAGTTAAGGTTCCTGATTTCGTCGTTGTCTTAACTGATCTGTGTAATTGTCCAAACTCATTCTCTTTCGTTTCACTGCTTTTGAGATTTTCTCCTTCCCATGTAAATGTTCCTGCACTTACAGATATCACAGTGTCGGGTTTCTTTGATTCTGTAACCAAACAATTTATATGCAACTGTATTTGAATATGAACCTTTTGCTCCCTTTTTTGTAGTTTGAAATGTAGGTTAATTTATATTTAGAAACTTGTTAAATGAGATGTCAGTAGTTAAGGTTTCGTTTATTATACACTAAATTATTTACATACAAGACAAAAAGTCAATAAAAAGTTGTGTATACCTTGTTTTTGTTCGTAATATCTGTTGAGGTCAATATCTTCCAAAGCCATAAATTTCTCAATCCTTTTAAGAGAAATAAGTGCTTCCATTATTACACTGATAGACCAAGGAATATCATTGAGGGATCCGAGGAGTTTGAGAAACAGTGCCAGGCATGCAAACATCTGTAATATAGTTTTTATGTACATAGTAAAATAATAAAATAATTAATGTTCGTTACATTGACATTGCAATGCGAAATGTGAACAGGGATAGATGGATCATGTACTGTTACTAGAAAATTTATCTTATACGTATTTCAAATTCAAATTCATTTTTTTTCAAACCATTAAGAACGCGATTAACGGCCAAATTACCTTTGCAGTGGTAAGCGTATTTCCCATCACAGTGTATATGCTGAAGGTAAGTACAGTCATTAGGGCAGGGGTCACGACCCACACGTATACTGAAAAGGCTGCAGTTATTTTTTTCTCTCTAGTGGTATATAATTCAGCATCACGAAGTTTGTCTATTACTTTCCGGAAGTGGTCTTCCCATGTGTTAAGTTTAATGGTCTTTATTCCTCCCAATACCTCGTTTATCATCTATAAAAAGACAACAAAGACGACAACACTCGTTAAGTAAACTAAATTACTATTCTGTAAACGCACATATTTAAGCGGTATTCTGATTTTAGCGTCTTTTTGCTCTTTAAACATTGGGCTTATTAATAGTAGCGCTATTTAAAGTTTCTTTATATAGTTATCTATTGCAAATATGAGAGTGCGCCAATTCATCAATGCGCTTATCTGTTAATACGCTAAAAAATGCGTCCGCTAAAGTAAATATGTAATATTACAGTGTTCCCCTCAGATACAAGACTTAAAATGTTTATT